GCTCTCTGAGACAAAAGGGAAATAATCTAGACTACAAAAACTATCAGAAATAAAAATAAAATCGTTTCCCCGGTGTAGGCGTCGTTCGAAGTGCGCCTACGTTGAAAGCATGTGTGAATATGCTTGGCACTCATAGGAAGTGGGAATTGACACAATACGATTAGGGACAAATAAAATAGGGAGCCGCCAACAAGTTTTTAAGGAACTTGTAAACCGTTCACGGATCATAAAAAGGCAACCACGATAAGGGACAACGATTGACCCGCGAAGGTTACACCCCATTCATAATCCGTGAGATTACTAACTCCATATGGTTCGGAACCACGAAAGGAGGATCGGGGATGATGGTACGAAGTGAGTCATGGAGTCACATTCGCCCGTATTGGCCTCTACTCGATTCTTATAGTGAAAAGTGATTCCTGCGATCTCAAAGGCATACAAACGAAATATTCAATTTGCTCCAAACTATAATTATGCTAAATTGGTTAAATATTAATGCAAAATATAATTCTAAAATATTTGTGATCACTTGATTTAACAACAAGATTAAAAAGGAACCTAAACCGGTCGTCCAAATTATCTTATTAGGCGTGATTTGCAATTACATATTCCCTTTAACATGCAATATGGTGATCAATAAATAATAATAGAATTAACATTAATATTGAAAGCAATTTAAAAATAAATTGTTAGTCAAATCAAATATAAATAAACTAATCATGATACTAGCAATATAAAAATAAAATAAGAGTAATTAAATTAATTAATTACTCACATTCTGCGCGTTCCTTTAAATTGCTACATCATGAATAAACTGTTAGTAACTTCAATAAAAAAAAATAAAGCAAATGAAAGTTAAATTAAATAAATATAGATTTGATTTGGTCCAAACCGTCAGTTAATTATAACTTTCACGCCTTGGTTTAAGTATAGAACTTCAGGTATTGTATGGACTCCTTGGAGTGCTTAAAGGAAGAAATATTGAAAGAATGGGGAGGCTAGTGTTTAGGCTAAAGAGGGAGAAGAGAATTATTTTATGATCAAGCTTGTTGATGATTGGAAAAGGGGTGATATGACCTCTATTTATAGAGAAAAAAGAGAGGTTGAAAAAAACAAGATAAGATCCGAATTAAATAAGAATAAAACTCGATAGACAACAGTTTTTGCGGTTTTTATTTTTATCATATCTTTTGATCCAGAAATCGGAATAATATGAATAAGATATTGTTGGAAAGCTCTTGAAGTATACTTTCTAATCCAATTAAAATCAGATTAAAATATTTTATAGAATAAAAGATATGGCCGAAATAGTGAGACGGTGTCAGTTTTGGATTAAGTTTGACATTTTATTCATATCTTTTCCGTTATAGCTCGGAATTGATATTATAATATATCATTGGAAAGATAATTTCAAGAGATATCCAACCATATAAAATTTGGATAAAAAATATGAGGCACGAAAATAATATCTGTCTATCTTTGAACGTCTTTCAATTCGGATAGAAATAGGACTTTCAAAAAAGGAGTTTTATTCAATTTCAAACTCTTTAATCTTATCTTTTTAAAAAAGGATAATTAAGATCTTTTAGAAACTTATAGAAGCTTCTAATTAATCTTAATTGGTTTAGAATTGGGATTAAATCATTTGGACCCTCCACATGATCATTGGGTCGTAGGTAAGGTGGGCTTAGGTTCGGTTTGGGCTCGGTTTAATATTTTGGCCATAACTTATTCGTTATAACTCGGATTAGGGCTTATAATATATCGTTGGAAAGCTCTTTTCAAACCCCATCCAATATTTAATCATTGGACCCAGATTATGGACCAAAATAAACTGGATTAAACGTTTTTATAAAAAGGACACGAAATGAATGATTTTAAAGGACACGAAATGAATTATTTTGGGTTTAAAGGCACGAAAAGAGGAAAATAAGTTATTTTTTGGAAATGGGATAGGAATTGGGTTAGTTTATGAAATGAAAATATGGATTTAAGCACTCCAAAAATTAAATACTCAACCCGACCAATAATGGCGGTGAAAGGTTGTTCATCATCGGGTTTGGTTTTGGGGAGACATTATTAACTATTATAATCTAGATTATGAAGTAACAAATATTTATATTTAAATATGAAACTAAACTACTAAGATTGAGAATAGGGGGAAAACAATATATAAAAGGATCTAGGGTATAGGGTCACCAATAAATAATACTCCAGGGTAAAACATAGTAATCAATCATTGGCATTGCATAAATAACACGATTAACAGGCTCTCGCAATTTATTAATCAACATAGATCTAACAGGCTCTCGCAATTTACTAGATCTAAGTTCTTATTGAAAATAGCCTTTAATATCAAATTAACATCTGCTCGATTCATCAATTCAATATTGCTATACTTTTACAAGCCGCAATTGTAAAACATTAAAACAATTCAATAAGAAATTATCATGCAATACCAATAATCAATAATAGTCAATCATCAATGCATTAATTAACCAGATTGTAAAGGGCTTTCGCTACGTATTACAATCACAGAATTAATCTACCGGTATTAAATCTCATCTCTCGAATCTCGACTTAACCATTTATAAATTAACCTGCCTATTGAAACTAGACCTAAACATCAATTCTCATCTGTCGAATCTCGAATCAATATTGTTAAACTCATGCATAAAAGATCTGCGAAAATCTAGTCACAGAGCATTAAATCAATCAATAGGAAATTAATCTAGCATTGATAATCAACAACAATAAATTACCCCTTCATATTATTTATGGATCCCCATAAACCCTAGAATTGAACTACTCAGACATAATTAAATCTAAACTAATCAAAGTAATAAAACAAGTCATGATGGAAGGAGTAAAGTAAATAACTAAGATTAAGAGAAGAGAAATCGTTACCAAACTAATATGTATTAATGGAAATAATCAAGAACAAGGTTTTAGAGAAGAGTTAAGAGAGAGAAAAATCCTAAGTAGAGAGAGAAAGTCTAAGAAAGAAGGTGTACAAAAATCCGTACACGTTTCCTAAAACAAAAATTAAAACTAATTAATCAGGTCCTATAGAAACACGCGCCCGATCGGGCAAAGGGCCGCCCGATCGGGCGCGCCTTTTTCTTCGCGTTCCTTCCAAGCAGCATCGCCCGATCGTGCTAGATACTCGCACGATCGGGCGCGCAATAGCACGCTCAGCACCAAAGCCTTTCCGCGCCCGATCGTGCTAGAGGTTGCCCGATCGGGCGATTGCTTCACTTTGAGGCTTGGACTTTGATTGGGCTTGATTTCTCGGCCCAATCCGGATTTCCTCCTCGGGTCTTGAATACTTGGTCCAAATGCCTCGGGATCCCAATTACCGAGCCCTTAATCATCGGCTCTCACCGATCCTGGGCCTCAAAAGTGGTCGTGTCCTTCTAGCTTCCGTAGTTGATCCATAAAGCCCGGAAAAAATGCTCCAAGAGTGCAATTTCCTGTAAAATACAACTAAAACTACGAAAACACTAGAAAACACAAATTAGTAATAAAAGTGGCTCGAAAGAGCCAAAAACACTACTAATTATGACCAAGGGATGGGGGTAAAATACTATATAAAATAGACACATCAAAGTCTAAGAAAGAAGGTAATCTAAAATCCGTACAAAAATCATACTTAAACGTTTTCCTAAAACAAAAATTAAGGCTAAACTTATCAGGTCTTTTAAAAATGCGCGCCCGATCGGGCGAAGGGTCGCCCGATCGGGCCCGCCTTTTTCTTCGCATCCCTTCTCCGCATCATCGCCCGATCGTGCTAGATGCTCGCACGATCGGGCGCGCTTATAGCCACGCACAGCACCAGCAGCGCCGCGCCCGATTGTGCTAGAGGTTGCCCGATCGGGCCCTTGCTCCATTTTGAGGCTCGGACTTTGATTGGGCTTGATTTCTCGGCCCAATCCGAATTTCCTCTTCGGGTCTTGAACACTCGGTCTGAATACCTCGGGATCCCAATTACCGAGCCCTTAATCACCGGCTCTCACCGATCCCGGACTTCAAAAGTGGTCGTGTCCTTCTAGCTTCCGTAGTTGATCCATAAAGCCCGGGAAAATGCCCCAAGAGTGCAATTTCCTGTAAAATACAACTAAAACTAAGAAAACATTAGAAAACACAAATTAGTAATAAAAGTGGCCCGAAAGAGCCAAAAACACTACTAATAATAACCAAGGGACGGGGGTAAAACATTATATAAAATGGACATATCAATGACTGACCTAGTAACCCCAAGTAACCCCTAACCGACCTGGTAACCCCCGACCTAGTAACCCCTAACCGACCTAGTAACCCCGACCTAGTAACCCCAAGTAACCCCCGACCTAGTAACCCCTAACCAACCTAGTAACCCCCGACCTATTAACCCCAAGTAACCCCTGGCCGCCGACCTAGTAACCCGAAGTAACCCCTAACCGACCTAGTAACCCCTGACCGCCGATCTAGTACCCCTATCCGGACCACCTAGTAACCCCTAAACGGCTCTAGTAACCCCTTACCCACCACCAACAAAAAACTACCACTAACAACCACCACCAACGAACCACTACCAACCTAAACGCCTTGCCACTAGCCCCTAACCCACAAACAAACCCCGATCCAACCAAACCATTTAAAAAAAAATCAAATCAAACAAATACCTTAAAATGTTAACAATGGTTTCGAATATCACTTCAAATATGGCTAAAAAGGCCAAATTCGACCATGAAAATTCTAGATCTAGAGTTTTCATGGCTGAATTTGGCCTTAAAAATTTTAAACTTGTTTTCCGACGACGGAGTCACCAAACCACCACTACCCTCCCAGTGAAACCACTACTTCCGACGAACGAACCACCGATGAACGAACCATGAAAACGACTATTGATGACGATTGCGAAATTTGTGTTATGTTCTTTGAGAAAATGAGATGAAGCTTATGGCTTGAAGAAGAAGAAGAAAAGAGGAGAGAGAAAGAGAATAGAGAGGAAAGAGAAAGAATTTTTAAAAATTAAAAAAAAATTGTGGCTGGCCACTGAGTCACATATGAAACTTTATAATCTTAATTATCTTAATATCTCTAATATGAATCTTTGATTGACCATCAACTTACTTTACCAGGTTAACAAACTGGTAAACTTCCCATCATCACTTGTTCTCCTTTGTCAACAATCTTTTACAAATTACAATTGCTTTGCCCTCTTTACCTCTTTCTCTCTCTTCCCTCTCCCAAACCAATCTAAATTGCTCTACAATCGAACAATAGGAGAATTACAGTTCAATTTTCGAATACCTCATTTCAAACGGATTTCAATTCCAATTTCTAGGTCCAAATGAATTGCGAAGTTTGCCAACTCAAAGAATTGGTTTGCATCCTTAATTTTACTCTATGTTTTCTGATTACTCTTTCAATCGTCGATTGTACTAGTATTTGATTATTATTATTTTTTTTTTTCACAATTTTGTTGCAGGAAGTAGAGCATTTCGAAATTAGAGAAGTTTTGCGATGTAAGATTACCCCTTTTTTCTCTGTAATTGGCTTTTGTTACGATATTTATTGTTTGCAGATGATTATATTAACCTGTAATTGCAATCAATCAGCAAATTGTCAAATAATTTTGGATTAGATAGGTTTTGATTTTCTACGGTTGTTAATTTCAAAGCTTTTTTGCTGAATTGTAGTTAAAGTATACGAAGTAGTATACTCCAATCCTTATTTGTTGGATTATTCTTGTTGAAATTTGATTTGCCCTAGTTATCTCAATGTCCTAAAATCCGAACTTGACTGCTCTTGTAATTCCAACACTTCAATTGACTTTGTTTTTGAGCACCTCGGAAAAAATTAAAGAAATTGGCAATGGATTTTCGAATGATTGACTAAGGTTACGATGTTGATTGTCACTTTTAAACTGCATTGTACACCTTGACACAACTAGTCTGAGTATCTTGAATTTTAGTTGGTATATTGCTAATAAGTTTACTCGAAGATGATCAGAAATGTGGATTTTATTTGGTCATCTTTTTTTTCAATGAACTTTTATACTAGTGTAATACTGTTATGGTAATTGGTTCAAGGTAATTCAAATCATATCGTGAAAACTTGGAATGTGTTTTACCATCTCGTGAGTCGATTTCTTTTTCATACCAACTTATGACCTAATCATTCATTGAAATTATATGCAGGTATACTACATACAGTTATGTTCCATAGGGCTCTAGGCCTTGTGCGGCCAAAAGATGTTGATTTGGAACTTTTTGACATTACATACGTGAGTGGTCTCTTCAAGTATTAAGTATTAGTATATGATAGATAGAAATTAGATGTGTTTAGCTGTAGATTCCATATCTTCTGTGGCAGCCACTCTTCAATACTACTATGCTGTTATATTTAGTTTAGTTGTTTTCTTTGGAAAAAGTTGCTGCAAATTCATCCATTGAAATCTTTTGGACACATGAATACAACATGTTTACTTCAAAGTTCTCTAATGTTACCCAAGCGGTTGAATCACATAATTATATTTTTGTAGGTCCAATGTGGAGATGTGGAATTGGAAAAGAAGATAGATGAGAAGATTGATCAGTTCATTTCTTGGGTAGAGAAGCACCCTAATAAAAAAAGTCAGGTGAGGTTTAGCGCTGACTTCTCATGAATGTAATCTTTGACTTTCACTTTATATTTGTCCACATTTTTAGTGTATGAATCTTGTGTGCTATGATCGCACATTGAAGGTCTTACTTTGGTCTTCTTATTGTATCAATATAATATCTGGGTCATTTCTATGTGCTTTTCACAATACTACCTGCGCTCCTTGTATGTTAAGCCATTCCTTTTTATGGTTTTTTATTTTTATTTTTTCTCCGCATTTGGCTATTTTATTTTATCCTCCTGGATAAATGTTGGACTCAAATTTTAGGAGGGAATTGACTTTGTATCTAAAGTATATTGATTTGGTTGTAGTTGAAGTAAATAGTAGAGTTCCCTGAAAAGAAATCATTGTTTATATTCTTTTGCCTTTATCTGGAAAGTTATCACATTACTAGTTTAAATCACAAAATTCATACGACAGACAACTGTTCCATGGGTGGCTTGGGGGGGGGGGGGGGGGAGGAGCACATCTTAGTGAGCATGCCATTACTCCTTAGTATATGTGGCTTTGTCAATATTGTTGATATAGTATGTCATAGGTAATCTTACCTCCTCGGTATATGTGGCTTTGTCAATGCTGTTGAAATGGTGTGTCTTAGGTGTTCTTTCCATACTACATAAATCCCAAGGTCTTAGCTTTTTTGGTTTAATTGGTGCTGTACAGATATGTTTGTCTTTCTATGAAGTAAAGAGCAACAAGGCGATATGGTTCTCAAACAAAGTTGAACGTCTGTATTGGGAACAATGGTACATCAATCTGAATGTTGCTCAACATCACAAACCAACCTCTAGCAAAACTCACCACTCCAAAGTTATAGACTCTGGTTAGTTTGTGAGCATGCTTGTATGATTGTGTTTGCTCCTAGAGCTATCCCCTGTTTTTAACCTGTTATGAATGATTTTAGAGGGTGCATCCGAGGAGAGAAGTGCTCGTAGGGCTGCAATTGAAGTGTCACTTCGGGAGGTTCTCTTTCAAATAATAAAGTTTGTAAATGAGAAAAAGGATCATATTCCTCCCATTCCAAGTCGTGAAGGAATCTCATTTCCCTATGAGATTACTATCCCAAGGTGTGGCATCTATACCCTTTCTGGTTACTCTCATGTTTTCATGTTCAATCTCTCAATGAGAGTCCACTTGGTGTTTTCTGCTCTTGAGGATTTGTTTAAACACTAAGCTAGCTGTTTTTCTATTCCTTGCCTTTTATGTTCTTTTTTTTTTTTTTTTTTTTTTTTTTTGGTTTTTTTGGGTTCCTGCATTAATTTTATAATGTGAAGTAGTACGTTGTAAATGGTTCGTAGCTGATTACGTTTTTTCTCCAGAAGAGCTTAAATGTGTTCATATTTATTTTTTCCCTACCAAAGTTGTCTTTGGATGCTAGTGTGTAAACTGCAATTGATTGGATGAGTTGTATTCTCGTATACAATTAAACATGAAAAGTCTAACACTTTGATGCATATCCATGTTTGACACAATCACCCAAGTCTGATAAACATAATTCTTAACTAGTTAACTGTATGCATAGAGCAGTACAGTAAATCTCATCATCTCTGTATTCAGCTCTTTCCGATTCTTGTTATTCATGTTCACAGGTCACCAAATATCATGACTAATAGACTGTACTAATGTAATTCTATTTCATTCAGCTCATCAGACACTACGTTTGGGATGGATATGATCAAAAGGATGCTTCAAACAGGCCATCCAACCATGCTTAGCTGACAATTCAATTCTAAATCAGATCATCAGAAAGATTTTAATCTGGTCAATCTGGAACAGGATCGTAAAAGGTGACCGGGATTCATGTCTTAAGTGCTCTACATCTGTAAATAGTGTCTTCTTGTTTTCCCCTCTTCATATCTCACGTATGAGTAATTCCCTACTCTTCTCTGTACTATAATCCTGCGAAGGTTAAAGTTTCGGCAACTTGCTTGTTCATATCTAATCTTTATGCATATAAATATATAATGTCTTGTCCCTACTCTTATTATTGTTAACAAAATTTATTTTTCTTATAAACCTGTATCAAAATCTTCCTTTCTCCTTTTCTTCACCTCATGAGAAGTTTGTCATTGCTCGAATCTTGGCAATGTACTGTAATAATTTGATTTTGATAAGACAATTTAGGACTTTAGGGTAGGATAGTTTCATATTAACATGGCATTGTTTGGTTGACATGGGAAATGAGTTCCCATAGGATACTTTATTTCATGGGAAGTAATGCCTTACCCATTTCCTAGAAATTGACTTAAGTTTGTTTGGTTGATAATATTAATATATGAACGAATTGATTTTCCTTGTTTTATTTGTTCGCTTGATTATTTTTATTTAATTTACTCGTAATAAAATTGGGGAGAAAGAATGAGACTAAATTATTAGTGTGAAAGAAAATGCAAGTATGCCCCACAATAATCATGGTACATGTGACCAAGGTGGGGGGCTTGGTAACCGTAAGTAATTTCTTATGTTTCATGGGTATTGAAACTTTTATTGGAATATTCATTTACCCTAATTTGTTGATTTTGAGTCACCAAACAATCCATAGGGACAACGAAGTAGTTAAAGCTTTTCTGTCGGTTTTGTGACTCTAAACACCAAATATTCTTTTTCTAGTAATAGAATTCTCCCTATCTTTTACGTCTAATCAAACAACACCTAGGATTATGTTAAAGTATGTTATGTTGTAAGAATCGCACCAAATTATCTTCTTTCCAATCTCACCAGAAGTTATTGTGAAGTGGTTAAATTCCGAAGTTCGCTTATATAGTGATAACTGATAATGGCCAGCCAAACAAAGAAGGGTTGGTCAACACACGCTCTCTTTCACATTATTGCTTTGTCTTATTTCTGTAGAGTCGTTGACTAGTTAATACTGTTATTTTCGGCGTTTATTTCTGTAGCTTTCTACGGCGTATTCAAATAATAACCATCCTCATCATCTGAGGAAGTTGAGTATAAATTGGTATTTTCCATTCCAAAAACTGCAAAAACTAAGAAAACAAAAAGTTACCTATTTAAGTAATTTATAATCAGCCATATATATTCTTATAAAACAAAATCAATCAAGCTAATCAAAAAGGGAACAAAGAAAAATGAAGCACTTTGTACTAGTGCATGGGACCTGCCATGGAGCCTGGTGCTGGTACAAGCAAATCCCTCTATTAAGGCAAGCGGGCCATCAGGTTACAGCCGTTGACCTTGGTGGATGTGGTGTCCATGGTCGGCCGCTAAGTGAGATTGTAACCATTGATGACTACGTGGAGCCTTTGATGGATGTCATGAGGTCCATTGATCCACATGACGATGGTGGTGATAAGAAGGTTGTGCTTGTGGGACATAGCTTTGGTGGAATCGCAATCTCTATGGCTATGGAGAAATTCCCAGAGAAGATCCTTGTTGGTGTTTTTCTGTCTGCTTATATGCCTAATCGCTCCTCTCCTCCACTTACCCTCGTTCAAGAGGTACGCCGTCAATATTCTTCACTATGTATCTAAATATGGTGCTCATTTGCAGGTGTATGGCAATTATACTACAGTATAGTTGCCAGCCTAAAGTTCAAGTTACTGAAGGAAACTATCTCTGTGTTACCTTCTTACACTGCTCGTCGTGCCTAAAGTTCAAGTTACTGAAGGAAACTCTCTCTTGATTTGGAGTCAAACAATTGATACAAATATACGATCCTACTGTGCTCGTACTAATCTGTTTTATCATTCAACAGACGTTCAAGAGAACACCTTTGGAGGGATTTTTGGACACGACGTTCAGGTTTGATAATGGTCCAGAAAAAGCAGCCACTCATCTAGTTTTTGGTCCTAAGATTTTGAGCACTAAACTCTACCAAAATTGCCAGCCTGAGGTAATTAATCCCACAAACTTGAAGTAATAGCCAAGTGCCATACATATACTATCGTACTTATATGTGTTTTCTATTATTTCGAAGTATCAAACTATGGTACCCTGGATCCATTTTAATTCTCACCTCATCGTGTCTAAAATATGTATGACGTTTATGGCTAATTGTAAGGTTAAAATGAATGCAGGATATAGAATTGGCCCAAAAAATGGTTAAGCTAGATGGTACATTCAGCGAGGACTTAGCAAAGGATTCATTATTTTCGGAAGAAAGATTTGGAAGAGTGAAACGAGTATTTGTTATTTCTGAAGAGGATGAATTAGTGAAGACGGATTTTCAAAACTGGATAATTGAAAATAGTCCACCACATCAAGTGAAATCCATACCAAAAGCTGATCATATGGTAATGTTGTCAAAACCTCAAGAACTATGCCTTTGTTTGATAGAGATTGCTGATATATGTTGAGCAACAACTTCACATTTCAAGTACATAGTTCGATTATATCCCAGCCTGCACCATAGCGTTTTCAAGCAATTATAATTTACATTTATGTGATTATTTATAAATGATTGTAATTGTGGGTTGATCTATTAGAAATAAAAGGCATGTTTAAGCTGTTATGCAATCTTGGAGTAAAAGTCTTGATGAAAGAGCAGATTTTGATTAAGAACAAGCAGCGATTATCAAACTGCACATGTCGGGTGTTTAACATGCTCATACAGTCGATAAAAGCCTATTGGTGTACCTTGGATTCTAGGAACAATCGAGTTTACTCCGTATGATGTCTTAACACCAGCCGCGATAGACTTTAGACCATACTGCCAGCCAAGAAAGGTCTTTGGTTGTATGATAAACTTAATAAACGTTGTTGTTGTTTAAGATGCTTTCACACGCATTAAAATCGCATTTGTGGACTAGCTATAGCCTGTAGGGTTAATCAACTGTTTAGCGTATTCAATTCATATTATTATATCAAATCCTTTATCCCCGATTAAATTTAAAAAAATATGCAAACAAAAAATAGTAAAATATAAACATAAACGATTTGTCAATTTAAGCTAATGAAATTGACTCTTTCTTTGGTCATTCATGTACAATTTGCCAATTTGCCAAGATGGTTTGATTAAGATGTGTATGAACTAACGTTCTACCTGCGACTTGAAAGGAACGTTATGTTGTGTGGACTTGTGCGGCTTGATTTTAAAGGCCAAAATTGGTGGAACCCTTGTGTTTCCTCATACAGTAATATTTTATGTGGACACAACAAAATCAGAAATCGAAATATGTATTAATCAATCTATCAAACGTTAAACTTAGGGTCTGTTCTCATTGACCGAACTCAGCTGAACTGGACTGAACTGAATTGAAATGAATATTTTATAAGAGAAGGAAATTAGGAGCGGAGCTGAACTGAAAATAAAAGTATGAGAACAGGCCCTTAGTATCAAGGATTTATTAGTGGAAATAGATTTTAGAAAATGTTTATTTCGGTGTTGTTATTAATGGAGGCTAAAAATGAGGAGAAACAACACTTCGTTTTAGTTCATGGGTGTTGACGTGTTGTCAGGGAGCATGGTGCTGGTACAAGCTCATACCCCTGCTTGAAAATGCAGGGCACAGGGTGACTGCACTAGATATGGCAGCTTCTGGTGCAAACACGAAACGAATTGAAGACGTGCGTTCACACCTTTGAGGAGTACAACAGGCCTTTGTTAGATTTTATGGCATCGTTGTCTGTCGATGAGAAGGTTATTCTTGTCGGGCATAGCCTTGGAGGAATGAACATTGCCTTTGCTATGGAAAGTTTTCCTCAAAAGATATCAGCTGCTGTTTTTTTAGCTGCTGTTTTACCAGACACTATACACCAACCATCTTATGTTTTAAATAAGGTAATTAGTTGATTTTAAGTGTTGTTGTACTTATTAATTGAGTAGATGATAATGTACTTTGGATTGAAATTGTTGATTGTGTGCTTTAAGTTTGCTGAATTGATCCCTGAAGAAGCCATGTATGACACAAAGTTTTGGACATATGGTTCACCAGAAGAGCCCTTGACAGCAACTCTGTTTGGACCCCGATTTGTGCAGTTCCTCGCTTCCCTATCTCCTATCGAGGTATGAACATTTTTTTTTTTACCTCTGTCCGGATTTAGTAGTCACATATATACTGAGTAATACTCAAGTATGTTCCTATTTTTTTTATTTTTTTTTTTTATAATCAATATAAGAAAAAAGTACAAAAATCTAATTTAATTATGTGGTCACATCATAGTATCTTACTAGGTGATATACAATTAATGTAAAAATCTGATTTCTAATACTTCTTACATTTTTTTAATTTAGCAATCAAGCTGGTTCAACTATACAAATAAATTAAAAATTTAATTATATGGCTTTAGCTAACAGACAATTATGACCGAATAATTTTTTTTTTATTACTTTGTATTTTATTTTATTTTTTTGGAAAAGTCTTCTCTCGATCTCAAGACTATATATGTTTTGAAGAATTTGTTGTGCAGATGTTTAGTGATGGTGTTTGGTAGAGCATAACTGGTAGTTGAAACAGTACTTGAAGTAGTTATAGGAATAAAAAAAAAAGTATTAAAAAAATAAGTGACATTTCCGAACCCCAAGAGCTAGTTTTGCGATGAGTAAAACCAAAAGGACTCAAAGATTGCGTGGAGTTTTTAATGATCTCTTGTTAACATTAACTATAATAACGTATTACTCGTGGTATTACACTATTCCTTTTATAACACAGTGCTATGTAAAACTCATGGTCATATAGATTGAAATTTTCTTTAAGTTTTATAATTATGGATTTATGAGCTAGCAATGATTATGTTTGCGTGTACTTTTTAATAATATCTTGTTTATAATATTTATAATTTACCTATTACTTGTAGACTTGTAGGATAACACTCTTCCTAAATAACCGAATATTTCTATGATCACATTTCTATAATTAATATATATAATTGCGTATTCTTAAGTTTATATAATTGCAGGATTATGAGTTAGCAATGTCAAAGCAAAAACCATCGTCATTGTTTCTTCCCGATTTAACAAAAGCAAAGAAATTCTCGAACAATGGATTTGAAAGTGTTAGGCGAATTTATGTGATAAGCAAGGAAGATAAAATATTATCAGAGGAATTTGCAAGATGGATGATTGACAACAGTGGGGTGCAAGAAGTCCGGGAGGTCCAAGGTGCAGATCATATGACTATGCTTAGTAAGCCACAGCTACTATGTGACTGCCTTCTTGATATCGCCAGTGTTTAAATAGGAAAACTTACTCCCCTGATCTCTTATACGGTTTTACCTGATTTGAAATTAATACAGTAATTCACTTTAAGATATTCGGAAAATAATGGTATATTCTTGAGATTAGCTTTGATGGTATTTATAATGAAATAAAGTTTTTTCTACCACCTTTTTGTAACTTTTTTTATTTATATATTGTCACAACTTAACACATTTAGTCCATTAATTCTATAATTGAATTATTAGCAAAAACAAAAACAATTATATTTTGATGGTAAATTGTGTCAAAATTGAACAAATAACTTTTTTTTTTTTACCACCTTAACAAATTTTGCTATATTTTATAACCATTTAACAACCTTCGTCCATGTATATGTTAAGTGGTAGCAAAATTGAAATCAAAATAATTTAAGGTGGTAAAAATTCATTTTACAAAAATTATGGTATTGAAATTCAAAACTCTATATGTTTAAGGTGGTAAAATAAAAAAAAATTCTTCATATTGCATATGCTTAATTATGATTTATGAAGTTTCACTTTCATGAGCAATAACTATCATTCTAAGATACTTCGTAACAATAACTAATGGAAAATGATTTATTTGACGATAAATGATTAGTGGGTAGATACCTACTTCGTGACTAATCATCTTTTTGAACCAGCAACGTCTTACCAATTAGTTTAATTTTGAAAAATCGTCAATAAAATCTATGTGGGCCGGCCATTGTTAAATGTTGACAAATCAATAGATTAGATGAATTAAATATAGTATTAAGCTATCATCTGGACCCCACACCCCCCCCCCCCCCCCTCCCCCCCCATAATAATCAATTTTAATACTCTGTAAAATTTGTCAGTCTAGTCAAATTGGAGGATCGTGCAAAAAAGACACACGGAGTAATGGAGTATTTTAGTTTTGTCATGTTCGCATTTTAAACCGTTTTAAAGATGTGTTAGTTAATGTTATTCATTTGTACTTATTTATTTTATCTACAAAGATGTAGTACTAGAAATGGATGAAATAAGTAGAAATGGAACCTTGAATGTATTTACTCGAATTTATCTGAAATTATTAGACCTTATTGTATACAAGTAGTAATTAGACGGGCTAATGAGAATTGATCTTAGAATTCCTGAAACTAGGAGAAAAGCTATAATCATTTAAGCAATCCCTTTGTTACTGATTAGGATCGAAAGGATGTGAGGCGACTTACTGTGTCACTATACCAAGAGTTCTACCTCATGCATTTATATTATTTTGTTATACTCATATGTATTTATGATCTAACTTGCGGTAATAAAGTGTCCCTCTTTTTTTCCCTTCAATTCTTTTCGCATTAAAACAAACCACTAATAATTATGCTTAGTTGTAGGGGCTATATATCAATCTATCATTGATTAAATGCAAATCGTTATTTATTTAGTTAGTTCGAAATTATTTCTTGATTGTGACTTTGGGAGAGTACATTTATTTATTTCAAACATGTACTTCACTAATTTTGATATCTGTAATACTGATGTTGTACGCATGTCTAATATAAAAATGTGACAAATATCGATCTTCGGTCCAATTTTTTTGCCTACATAAAGTGCTCTCTGCATTTCCATATTCCATACATAACTAAAAGCATACACCTTTGTTGTTATTATTAAGAGTCAATTGTTGTTATTATTAAGAGTCAAAACACACACACACACAAAAAAAAAAAGAACAAGAAAGTTAGATCGAGTGAGAATGGGAGACGAATCCTCTTGCAAGAAACATTTTGTACTAGTTCATGGAGCAACACTAGGAGCATGGTGTTGGTACAAGGTTAAGCCCCTACTCGAGGCCGCCGGTCATCGCGTTACTCCGCTAGACATGGCGGCCTCGGGGATTAACCTTAAAAAGATCCATGAAATCCAAGGTATGCGCGATTATACCGAGCCATTGATAGCGTTTTTGACATCTCTTCCTGAGAATGAAAAGGTTGTTCTTGTTGGGCATAGTCTTGGTGGGATAAACTTGGCTTTGGCTATGGAAATGTTACCTCACAAGATTGAAATTGCTGTTTTTCTCGCGGCTTTTATGCCTGACTATGTCAACACTCCTTCTTTCATCTTTGATCAGGTAATTTTCCATCCTTTTAATTATTGCGTGATAAATCAATAACAATTTTTACTAAATTCTGTTTGAATTGTCATATATATATATATATATATATATATATATATATATATATATATGCTCATTTTTATTTTATTTTTTTCACGAGAATCAAGGGTAGTGGAGGGAGTGTAATTTTCTTAAAAAAATAGAAAGTATATGTTTTTTATATGACAAAAGGTTTTTTAAAAAATGAAACTTTGGATATAGAGGTCAAATTATATATGAGAAAAATAAAAAGGTAATGGTAATATGATGATTTAGGGCACTGTTAAGGTATTCTATATGAGAAAAGTAGGGTACACTATGATAAACTTAAGTAAAACAAAAGCACAAAAATTAAAAATAAACACGATATTTTGAGACACCCAAAATAAGATACAGATACTATATTGTACTTTAAAAGACGGAAAAAATAAATAACAATAAAAACAAAGAAACTATTATGGTCACAACTATTTTAGAATTGATGGAGTAGCTAAGTTTTTTTATCGCCTTGGATCGGATTTAATGAAAATACTTCGATGATAAGATGTTGGTCCATAATTAAAAACATTTGAGACAATTCTCTTAATTTATCATGTGAGTTTGTTCATCTCGGATAATAATCAAAAGCATGTAGTGATTTCCCTATTTAATGAAAGGAACGAAAAACTAAAAGATTTTAAGTTGCACTTATTTCCCTATTGCTAAGTTTTAAATTTGATTAACATTTGTTGTTTTATGTGCAATTCTGAATGTCCCAAAGAGAACAGATTCAAAGTGCAAACGACATAGATAGAAGATGTCGTTTTACTATTTCTAATTATTAGTTGTTTGTTTGTAGTTGCCTTTGCTATTGTTAAAAAATAAAATAAAAAAGGAATTTTGTTGAAGTTTGATTAATGGAGAACTAACTTTTGGTGTTTTATTTTCCCTCAAAAAAAAAACTTTTGGTGTTTTATGGTATTGTGAAGTTTGTTGCACAATTGCCTGATGAAAATTATTGGTTGGACACGGAATTCAAGAACACTGGTGATCCAAAGGAGACCCTCACGACAATGTCATTTAGTCCACAATTCATCGCAAAGCTTTCTCATCTGTCTTCAATTGAGGTAATCCTAACTTCAACCTAAACTAGAATTTTGTTATTTTGTGAATATGGGATTTACACTTTTAAATAGATACCAATATATAGTAATTATCGCGTGAGATGATCTAATCAAATTTTGGGACATGGTGACGTTATAATTAACTATTGACGTTTATTTCTTTTGAATAATTAATCGTCGAAGCATCAGACTATTTTTCCAAAAAATTTGTTTGGAGCATTACTAATGCACTTGATTCTATTTGGTGGACTATTATAAGGACTACGAGCTTACTATGATGTTGAAAAGGACATCGTCGCTGTTCCTTCATGATGCATGGAAGCCGGAGGCGAAGCTTTCAAAGGAAAGATATGGATCAGTAAGGACTGCTTATGTAATATGCAACGAAGACAAAGGAATATTAGCACCTTTTCAAAGGTGGATGATTGAGAATCATGGGGTGAAAGAGGTGAAGGAGCTTAAAGGATCGGATCATATGCCAATGTTCTGCATGCCAAAACAGCTCTGTGACTGTCTTCAGGAGATAGCCCTGAAATAATGCTCCCAAATGATTTCCAAGACTCATACTTTTCATTTGTTCATTTGCTTTGTAAAATAAGCTACCATCGACATTTGGTATGAATTCATGTTGAATGTTAATCTATTATCATAAACTATTATTTCTTTATCATGTTGGCTACGAAATAAGTTCAAATATTCATATAAATATAACAATCAATAACTAAAAACTATAAAAAGTGGAGTATATTTTTAAAATATACAATTATGTTGAAATGATTCTAACAAAATCTACCAGTAAACTAGAACAATAAAAAAAACAGATGAAGTACGAAATATCTCATTGTCGGCGGTGCAAGCCTACACGAGTCTCGAATCATACTTCAGCGGCTTATTCACACACTCACAGTCTCACAGAAGTCCATTCCCATACTCCCACTTATCTCAATAGAGTCCCTACAATATATTGAGCATATGACTCAAAATTAATTTGGACTGAACCTTACGTAGCCACATACGGATCCTCAATATTTGCAGGCTGGACCATAATCAGATTCACAGGCTGGACCCATCTTCATATTAAACTAGGTAGATGTTATGTTAAATTTGGGCCCACTTCAAACTAAAAAGGAAAGGATTCATCTGTTTATCTTTATTATTGCTGTTTCTTTGTTAATTGTTATTAGCCTCGCCGCCTTGCTGTCAAACTCCAAGAGTCCCAGTAAACATTAATAACACTCCTATATTGCCAGATCGAAGATATGTCCCTAGATTTTATATTACAATGAAAATTGACAAGTCGGTAATGAAGACAAATTTTCCAACTAAAAAAAAACAATAAAAAAAAACCTAGGTTCCGTAGTGCTAGGTGCTACTACCTACTAGTGCTTATATGGTATAAAAATTATATCATTCCTCTCCCTCCACTTTAATTATGCCACAATACAATATACTTTCACCGAAAATCATTCGACAACGAAATAATACGAGCAAAAAGACTATCTTCATCTCAAACTACTATAAAGTTGTCCTAAATTACTTGCAGAGTACTTCATTTGTAAAAACTACTTTCTATAATGACGCATTTCTCACTAACTACTCCATACTTTCTAATTTCTATTAAGTCAATTAACATGATTTTTTAGTCTGCAGCGAAAACACGAACAACTTTCCACTTTCCAGCCGAAGTAACCTTTGTAAAGACTTTCGTGGCCTCCTGGGAGCTAGACATAATCTCACTGATCTATACAAAAACCCTGAGCAACTGGACTAAGAGTCCAAGACAACCCCCCCCCCCCCCCCCCCCCCCCAACACACACACACACAAGAAAAGAAAAGGAAAAAAACAATAATTTTACAACCAAACCTAACTATGAACATCATGACTAATTACAGCAATTACAAAAAATACATAACAAAGATCTAAATGAAGACCCTGAAACCTTGAGACAAATGACCTGCAAGTCTGCCACACAATGTTCACAGAATTACAGGCAAGTGCAAGTTTCCTACCAGCAATTAAGATGCAAAGATTATGCTAGACATTTCAAGTACCAATTTTTTGGTGATTTTTCTCAAGAGGGTCCATAGGATCTGTGCAGAGTCCATGGTTGCAACAGCTAGTAGCATTAAAGAGTAGAGGCTTTTATGTGGCCTTTAAACAGCCACCACTGGCCACTAAAAGAGTGGAAGAGCAGGAAAAATTGACGATATAGGCAGACAGCCAAGAAACTTCCAACAGATGGACTGATAATAGCTGTATAATTTCAAGTATTGACATACAAAATATAAGAAAACTCAATCATTAACCCATCGAAAATTGAAGAATGCTGATATTTTATTCTTTTTTTTTTTTTTTTTTTTGTACAAACAGTGATAAAGTTCAAGGCAAATGGTGTCGAACATAACTAGCTTCAAAAGTGTTCTAGTTCATGGCTGCAAAAGTATTGCACCTTCAGAAGAAAAATGGAGGCTACAAAACAGGGAAGACAATTATTCTAGTTCAAGGCATGGGGTATGGTGCTGGTACAAGCTCAAAGCCTTGATAAACAAAGCAGAACATAGGGTAACAGCCCTACAAATGGGCCACACAGCCTCTGGCGGCAACATGACGCCAATGAAAGAGGTTCACACCTTCAACATATCAAGAGTATAATAACTTGACTAATAAGCCTTTGGTATCCATGGCATGGTAAGAAGGTAGTTCTGGTTGGGCACAGCAAAGGAGGAATGGATGCTGCAGAGCTACTGTTGCCATGGCAAAAGCCCCGAAAAAGTGTTCAGTTGGAGTTTTACTTACTGCATTTGTGCCGGGAATCATACGCCACCATCCTTTGTTTAGGAGAAGGATTTAAAATAGTGCATCATAGTGGATATAAAAATAATATTTTTTTTTTTAAAAAAAAAGGCTAGAAGTTAGTTCTTGCTTACATACTTCAATATTGCTGAGTCGGATCCTGAAGAATTCTAGTTTGACACACAGTTCTAGACATAACGACATACGACTCCCCAGATTTGTCCTTGGCATCAGTGCAGGTTGGGGTTCAATTTATGCACACCCTTCCTTTCCTGATTCTATCAACACATAATCCTACATCAAAACCAATAGCAAATTAGAACCCTGTATAAGGTAATTCCATGATGAATTTGATGAAAACTGTAACAAACTTGATCCTAATATCTACTGCATAACACTGCATTAGATTTCTTTAAGAAGTTGAATGTAACAAATACTTTAAAAAGTAACAAAGAAATGCCAATAAACTTAGTAGGACTACTTAACAAATCATATCTTACTTCTTCATAGGACTCTAAATACTTGGGTAACGCACAAATTCTGGCTACATAAAAACTAACAGCACACACTCTTTTGCATGGTCATTCCAAAATCAAAGACCCTGCCGGAACCCCACTTTCCAAACCGGGATAATTTAAGCTTAAACGATTAACAAATGACTTGATTCTGGATATGAAACAGTTGTCCACCTCTTGTAAATGGATGTTAACATACAACTTGACTTGCACTATTTATCCACAACAGGTAAATAAGGGTTAAAAAACATGGCAAATTATTCTAGATGAAGACATTACATCACTTCATAAGGTTGATTGTCAAAATAATGCCAACATCAATAAATTATAAACATGATAAGTATAACATTAAGAATTCTCTAACGTTGCAAGGTAATAAGTCCTATAAAATACAAATTTTAAAATGTCAATACTATTGATCAACGTTTATATGAGGACATGCTAGCAGCAAAAGTTTCTCCTCCCATCCCAAAACGTGATGGAAATAGAGAGTGAATGACTTAAAGTTTCAAGAGACCCTACCTTTGTCACAATCAGCATGGTGCCAACTGTAACAAACAATGTCAATAAATATGATTTTGACAGGATGCTAAAGGAAAAATATCTAAATAATGCATCTATTCCACTCACAAAAACTAGCATACCATTATTACCACAGCAAGCACCGAGAAGTTGAATTTTGAATACAGTCCTCCCACCTTCCGAAGCTTGAAAGGTCTAAAACTCTAAATTGCTTAAGCATGAATATACTTTTGTGCCATCACCTTTCAGGCATGAATTACAATGGATAGCAATCTTGAGCCAAACAGTAAGCGCAACGAAAGAGATGGCATGACAGCCAATTCCTCAAACATAAACTTATCCACCCAATTTTTCCAGGAACATCAAATTCTGCCTGCAGCTTGACCATTTACAAATGGAGAAAGGGGTTGCACATCAATCGAACACAATGCCTTTCATCCAATCAGCCTTAATAGTTGTAAAGTCTAAAGAAGTTGATCACAGAGCTCCTCAAACCTAGATAGCCTGCAAGTTAATAAATGTTACTTAATCTACTAAACTAGTTAACCTGAATTCAACAAGATCTAGCCAAAGGTTATGTAGCACAGAAATTTTCAGGACAGTCACATTTCCAGGTCGCAAAACCCAAGGGAACTCAAGATATAGCATTTTCTTTGAAAGACCAGCAAGTTTCCCCCTTTAGGGCCTTTAGAGTTACAAATTGATTATACTTTATCATAAATGTTTTAGTGAACTAAACAGTAAAGCCTCCCTTTTAAATCATATATCAAAGGGGGACAAAGAGGAGCAATTTTAGAGCTCCAGAAAGAGTATAGTGGAATTGTGCTAGCACTAAGCAAACATACCGTCTCATTAGAACTTCTGGATTATATGGAAACAACTTCCTCCTATGAAGCTTTCTCAGGGCACTTTTGAGAGAAAGCAAGCATCCTTTAGCATCCTCAAATTGTAGGCTTTCACACCTCCCCAGATTGCACTCTAACTGGTTTTGCTCAAAGGCGAGCCCACTTTCCAATGGAGTATCTATCTGCCCAACAGAAGATTCATCAGGAGATACCCTTCTTTTCTTGCAGCCCCTTTGACAAATACTTTGGTAAACAAGAAATTCTCTACCAGAATACTTCAAAAACAATTCCCACGAATCACATACGATACGCAAGCACCTGAAATAAAATACTCAATTCACAAAGTAAGATATCAACTAATATCAGTTTTTACTCAAGCATGCGACTGTTGAATTCCAGCTTGTCCAAATAGCAACAAAGGAAACATGAAATCAGGCTACAACTTGAACATACTCAATCTCGAATCACAAATAAATATAGTCATGATAACTTGATAAGTAGTTGGTACTCTAGAGTAGAAAGGACGTCAGCTAGCAAAACACTTGCCTTAAAAGATATTCAGCACACTTTCCACCCATATCTTTCGAAATAAGATAATCAAGAAGCAGTTGATGATCATATTGCAGCTGCACAAACACACACAAAAAAAAAATAAAAAAATAAAAAATAAAAAAAAAACAAAAAAAAAAACTCATAACTCATGATATTAATGCTGCAGGAAAAATTAACAACTCTTTCTATCAAGATTAAAAACCCATATTGGAACAATACATGACATGATGAGCAAAATGTTATACTGATATTTCACGATTTGTTTAGTATATACTCACTTCTGCAAGGAATACATGAAACAGAAGCAAAGGATTAAAAAGGTTGGAGACATGAAAAAGAATGTTCTCCTCAGTGACATGACAAGGCCTTCCCTCTTTGGAAAACCTGATACAAATCAAGAATTCTTATACAACTAGTTCTGAAAACATTGTAAAAATCGGCTTGCTAACTAGAACCAACATAGTGATAAACTGAAATGTAATTAAACTTACAGTTTTTCAGCCCATGAAGGTATAGTAAACATCTGCAAGAGTACTCCAAATAGCATATCATCCTATGGTACACGAGAACAAATTATAACTGGCATAAGATTACAGCATTAGAAACCTCTTCCTAGGCTCTAAGACAAAGAAATTGGGGGAATGGGGCCGGGGTATACAAGAGCAAGTAGTGTGTATCTAGACGACACATTGCTATCTCTACCAAGTTGGTGTGGATAACAATCTCTATTACTCACATACAAAGGCTCCAAAATTCCTTGTATGATAGCAGATGGACTTTGACACTAACGATTATTTAGAAAATGCTACAAAGAAAGCTAGAAAAAAAATACATTGTATATGAAACAATAGTAGTTATACTAAACATGTAAAACCAACCATGAGTCAAGACTCCGTAATCACTTAATTTGACTTGGGAAGACACCTTAAAAGAAGAACAAACCTCTTGCATGTAAAATTTGATGAAGGATGAAGCGAATTTGATGCACTTATCCAATTTTAACTCATTTTCGGTCACGATAGAAGGAAAGTGAACTTGAAGCCACTCATAGAACTGAAGTAGCCCCTTCTTTTTGGCAAAGCATTCTTTGACTATGTTCATATCAAATACGGTAAATGAGCTTGGCCTTTCACAAGTACATTGGAAGTCATCTGTTTTTGCGAGGCTCATCAAGCTCAAAGAACATCTTAGGAAAAGAAAAATAGCTCTCCTTTGTAGATGGTACGAAGACAGATGACATAATTCCTGGTCATCAAGAGACAACAAAAAAGGAGAGCCTTCCAAAGTATCACTCTGACCACATGCAAACTGAGAGATGGGACTTGAGAGTAAATCCTGATAGTGTTCATGAAGGAGTTGCAACCACAGAATGAGAATCGAACAACCTAGTTGCATACTCAAGCTGAGTTTTACCATCAACATCTGTTCAATACAAGAAATAATTTATATAAAGTGATAAAGCTAGAATGAGAAGAAAAAAAATATCATTTAAAGGAACAAGCAAAATATACAAAGGCCCTTGTAATTTTGTAATATTCTCTTTTCTTGTTTCCTTGAAAATAAGTCACTTATGACAAAACATTAAGCATTTTATTGTGATGCTCAATGGGAAACTAAAAAGGAACATTAACAAAGGCTTGGCAGTAAAAAGAAAAAAGATAAAAACAGATCCATACCAAAATTTTGTGCTGGAAATATGGAAAGATATGGCTCCATTCTTCAACATGACACCACACTAACAATCTAGGAACGAGATCATTGATCTCATGGAGAATAGCGGATTTAAAATGAGAATCAGCTCCATCAGTAGAGCCTATAAGATCAACTACAGAGCAGAGCAGCTGAACAAAATTTCCCATAAAGAGGATTTTTTCTGCTGCCTCTCCATAAGAACCTCCAAATTTGGTTTTGTTGTGGGTGCTGTCATGGTGGATTACATTTAGTAAATCCCAAGGAACATTCGTCAGACAATTACTCAAAGAATTGGAGAATAATTTCACAAGTTCATCACCATCTGTACCCTTCAAATGTTTTACGACCCCCCTTAAAATTCGTAAAATTTCAGCTACACCATTCTAAGTTGAGTTCTTCAAAACAAGTTTCATGTTTGATACAACAGACTTAGAGTTGTCAGCTTCAGTCGTCAAGGATTGTGGCAAATGTTGTACGATATTACTCATTGCAAGCTCAAAGCAAACACATAACAGGTGAATAAACCTGTCCCAGTTGTCTCCCTGTTACATACAGACTACCAACCAATAATTTTCAGAATAATCACATATAACTGATACGTTGCACAAAAATTGCATTAATGGAACCATACGTAGGATAGAAGAAACTCTGAGAAGACCAGAAATATGTTGCCCACCATATGACGAACATATTGACTCCTGGCATTTAGTAATGAAACCTGACAATTAAATTTTAAATTTACATTGTCAAGTCAAAATCTTCAAATGAGGCCACAAGCTAGAACAATTCTAAACTCAAAAGCAATACAAACTCCATTCGGAAATTGTTGTCACATTATCCCAACCAAACGAAGATTTTTACGAGATTATGCAAAAATAATCTTTGTAATAGTTGTCGAACCCACCCTTTGTTCCTCATCCATCTCAAATGAGGATATACCATGGATAATCCACCATGATCAACACTAAAATTTACTGTGTGCAATGATCTAAATATGTGGTTAGTGACCCAAATAAATATAACAAGTGAATACAATAACATGTTCAAAATTTCATAAACTCAAAAAAATTAGGGAAAAAAGAATACCAAATTTGCAACTATCTTAGTTAGAATTTCGTCATCTCCACAACACGAATCGGAGCTCCGACTGTCACTACTGCTACTGTCTTCTTGTTGTTCATCAGTCCAGCGTCGAATTAGGTTAAAAATCTGAAAATTAGGGTTATAAATTAATCAAAGAAAATATTGAAAATGATGCGAGAATTTGTTGAAGACCTCACCTGAGAGAGAGAAATGAGAAGCTCCTTCTCTTTTTCCGTTGTTAATGAAATCAGCTCCAATTCCTGCAAAATTGATCAATGAATTAGTAGAAAGATTAAAGCTTGGTGATGAGATTATGAAGAAGATAAAAGAAAAGAGGAAACCCTAGAAATCGAAATTCATACGGTGAAAGGACTAGGAAGGAAGTTGTTGATGAGAGAGAAAAGGCGCGAAAAGTAGGAATCGCCACCATCTGACATTTTTCCGACGACTATTTTGTACTACAACGATACTTGGCTAAAATATTGTCCTAGTTCGTTACTATTTTGTGACTGCGCTCTAATAGTTGCAAATACTCCCTCCGTGCCAAAAAGAACGACCCATTTGGCCAAAACTTTGTCCCAAAAAGAATGACCAATTTGTATTAAAACACCACCAATTTACAACAATATTTGTGCAAAATTAGTTTCCCCATATAAAAATTTTATTTTCCATGTTATTTTATTACTTTCTCTCTCTATTTTTTACAAAACTCATGTAAATTTATCTTTTCAATATATTTTTACTTCTTTTTACTCCCTCCGTTTTTTTATATGCATTACTTCCCTTTTATGGGTGTTTTTTTTTAAATGCATCACTTCCTTATTTGGAAACTTTATACTACCTCCGTAAACGGTTATCTGCAACAATGGTACCGTTCACGGAGGCCTAGGCAAAATTTGTAGTGGGTTGTTTAAAGTGGGTAATTGCTTAAAGTACAAAGTGATTAATCAATACAAAAGGGTCCTGGTTTTTTAAAAGGAGGAGAAAGAGTCTGCCAAATTTTGGGGTCAAAATTTTCCCACCAAAATTTTGAGCCTCCTTTTAAAAATTTCAAATTCCACCCAAATTTTTCCCTCTTACTTAAATTTGCTGGCAAATAAAAGGGGGTATATAAACCACCTGCCAGACATTGTTATTTAGAACAAGCATTCATAACAAACATTCCAAATGTTGTTCCAAATTACAGCATTCAATGTTCACAAAAGTTAGAGCTTAATTAAACATTCCAAATGTTGTTCCAAATTACAGCATTCAATGTTCACAAAAGTTAGAGCTTAATTTTCTACCTAAACCTAATTACTCCTACGTCATTAGCAGTGGATTAGCAGCAACTCAGCACAGCTCTTCAAAATTGGCCCACTTCATAAGCAGTCCTGCAATCTGGGGACTCAGACAAATTAGCAAAGGCAACATAGCATAAAATTCATTTGATGAATTTTTCAGCATTGACCAAATGCCCAATGATGAAAGCAGCATGGAACATAGTCAGACAAGCAGCATGGAAGGGGCTCAGTACCAGGACAACACTAGTCCAGATGATGAAGCAATCCAGCAACCAACAAGCAGAAAACAGCTCACAGTTTCCAAGAAAAGGGAAATTGTAGGTGAGTATCTACAAAAGCTACAGGGGGGAGAAATACCATGGGGTTTTGTTTCACAAACAGCCAGGAAATTCAATGTGCATAGGTGCACTATTCTCAGATTATTCAAAGACATCAAAGCCCAAATGGATGTGAGGAATGTCATTGATGTCAGAAGCAAGAAACTTGGCAAAACAGGACCAAAACCAACAGAGTACACAGATGAATTTCTGCAGTCTGCCCCACTATATAAAAGGACCACTGAGAGAAGCTATGGGCTGCTCTTAACATTTCACATACAACCATCCATAAATTAAAGAAAAAGGGGAGTCTGAGAACACATACTAGCACCAATCATCCAGCATTAACAGACAACCACAAAATAGCAAGACTCCAATGGGTTTTAAGGCATCTGCTTCCTGCTACTCAAAATGAGGACCCATACTTTGTTGACATGCAGCAGGTAGTGCACATAGATGAGAAGTGGTTCTACTTGAACCCAGACACAAGGACATTCTACCTATTGCCAAATGAACCAAACCCCTACAGGTGCCAACAGTCCAGGAGGTTCAAGGTCAAAGGCATGTTCATGGCAGGCATAGGGAAGCCAATCTTTGACAACCAAGGAGGAGTCATACATAATGGGAAATATGGAATTTTCCCTTTTGTTTATGAAACAACAACAAAGAAAAAAAGTAAAAACAGAGAAGCAGGGGCAGTGGAAGTGAAGGCTACACAGAATGTTAACAAGGAGGCCATAAGGGAAATTCTTTTAACTAAAGTAATTCCAGCCATTAAAAGTAAATGGCCAGGCCATGTATCTAAGGATGTATGGATTCAGTGGGATAATGCCAGACCACACCAAATTCCTAGGGATGAAGAATTTCATGAAGCATGTCACTCAAATGGTTTCAACATACAGTTCATTTATCAACCAGCTCAATCCCCAGATTTAAATGTCTTATATTTAGGGTTGTTTAATGTGATACAATCAATACAATACCAATCATTTCCTAGAAATCTAAAGGAACTCATAGAGAAGGTAACAGAGTCTTATGAGTTGTTCAACCCAGTGTTGAACAAACGTTGTTGGATAACTTTACAATGCTGTATGGAAGAGATACTGAAGGACCAAGGGGGGAATAACTTCAGCCCACCACACAAAGGGAAGAGAAGACTAGAAAGACTAGGCATGCTACCTGAAGTGCTACAAGTGGACAGGGGTTTGGTTCAACAAACTGTTGAATACCTCAACACCATTATCATTCCAACAGGTGAAGTGAATCAGGAAGATGAAGGCATGCAGGTGGATGCAGATTAAACAGAAGTGAATCAAACTAGCAAGGACCAAGTCAGACTGCCACATATAACCATTGAATGCAAGGTAGTTTATTTTGATTTTTGTATGGGACTCTATGGTTAGGTGTATTTTGTTATCAAAACCATGTTTATTGTGAATGTAAGGCAGTCAAGACTACTATCCTTAAAAGATGTAAAAGCTTTTGATAAATTTTATAACTTCATTTCTGTCTTGTTTAAATCATTTCTATGTAGTGGTAAGTAAATGACATGAACTGTGATGCACAGACACACAACTGAGTCCATCAGAGGGTTATGATATTTCACAGAAATTGCATAAATGGTTACCTCAACAACAACTTACAATGGAAGTTGTTGGAGCAAGACCAACTTATGAATTTTATGCATCAACTGAGTCCCTTCATCATTTGGATCTCTCAACCACACAAACAATAGTTTGGGACTCCTACTACATTTGGGCACAAACAGGTCACAGGGGGACTCAAAGAGGGAGATACTGAAGTGCATGAATGAAACAACACCACCAACAGAAGAAGCATCACCCACATAGCAACAACACCATGCCCATCATAACACAAACCAGTGTACACACAAACCAGGGGACACACAATTTGACAGACACACAACTAAATTATACTCATTGGCAAGATCACACAAACCATATGATTGAAGCTCCCAATTTCAAAATAAAAAAGCATGAAACAAGCCATCCAGAGCAAGAGTAAGCCATCAACAGCAGGAGTAACAACAATAAATTAGCAACAACAAGCAACAATAACTACTAATAATTCCCATACAACAATAATCAACCAACACAGCCTTGTAATCATACCCACAACACAAATCACAGATTGAAATTAAGTATGATGAATACATAAAAACATAGATTGAAGGGTTAGAACATTGTTACGCTGATGAATTAGGAACAGGCTTAGGTGGAAGGGTTGCTAACCCCACCCATATCAACAACACCATCGTCAGGGGACTCAGCACGCTCCCTTTTTCTGCCAGACAAGATCTGGGTAGATCTACCCACAACAACCACCTTTGATGTGGTTTTCTCCGGCGACAGGGTTGCAGAAGGGATTTCAGAACCATCGCCCTTCACAACATCAAGATCAGGCGCCTCTTTGCTCGAAACCTGACCCTTTTTGCCCAGATCTAAAGCAGGGGACTCAGCACGTTCATCATCAGACTCGTATGGGGTAAGCTTTAAACCCCCACCATTCTTACGCTTCATATCCAGGTACGTAGCCATACGCGTACCAATTAGCCTCATCTTCCCAGTTCGTCGCTGACATTTGTAGGTCGCAACAACACCAAGATCTTGTTTTTTCTCGTTTGGGGAACTCATGATTTCAGGGTTTTGACAGAAAGATGTAGAAGAGCACACAGATCTGGGAATTTTAGGGTTTCTAACAAGAGAGAGAAAGAGGGAATCAGGATAAGAGAGAGAATGAGGTTCGCATGAACGAAACGACACCATATGCAAAGTGAAGGCTTCCAGAACATTTTCCAAAAGCTAAAGGGCGTCATTAATGGAGGTTGTTGAAGGTTCATTGAAGAGGGTGGTTGAGGAGATGAAGTGAATGTGATGGGAAATGAGGTCAGTGAGAGGTTTTTGGTGGGAATCATTAGGGCAGATTGATTGTTTATAGGGATAAGTAATAAGATTAGGAAAGTAGGTTAAGTTATAATCAGATTTTTAAAAGGGCATTTTCGTAATATCACATGTTAAAATTTTACTTAAAATGGAAAAAAATCAGTTTGTTGCACATAATATGAAGCACCTACTTTTGGTAAATGTTGCAGATAACCGTTTACGGAGGTAGTACTATATTTTATCATTTCTCTCTCTTACTTTAAACCCCACTTAAATTATTTTATCATTTCTCTCTCCTCTATGGTCCCCACTTATATAATAAAAATATCTACTCTCGCTCACATTCTTTCTCTTTCATAGTCCCCATCTTACTTATACTATAATAAATTATTCATCCACTCACAATATTATATTACCCTTCTAAAACTCCGCGCATCACCAAGTGATGCATATAAAAAAAACGGAGGGAGTACTTAACTTCCTTAATACCCGCGTAATCAACCCAAATGGGTCGTTCTTTTTGGGACGGAGGGAGTAATATATAATGGAGATAGTATGTTCCTAGTTGTCTGTACTCAACAACGTTTGCTTGAAAAGTATCAACACATGTATATATTATATAAAGTTGTGTCTTCAAACATGAAGACAACGACCTAATAAAAATATTAGACCTTAAATTTGTACTTTTACAATCTTAAGTGTTCATAATAAAACTAAACAACCTAATGTTGTTTAACCATGATGTCCTTGATTATATTTCTCAAGGATGTATAAATACCAACTACAACAATTACTATACTTGGAAGTTAGAACTATAAGCAACATGATGAACACCCGCTCAATAAGAACAAAAGATCCATTATATTGTTATCACCAGAAGAACAAAATATCCCATGTTATATAAAAATTCATACAAATAAGAAACAACTAACCTTAATTTTAAGGCCGAATGAACTAACATCAACAACTCACCCACTTCATCTTTTGTTAAAAAAATAAAATAAAAAACCACTTCAATATTAGCTACTATCTTCCGCTTTAAGAAGCCCGGCCCGTCTTGTGTGTGGCTGGCCACACCGTGTGACCACTCATAAAATATTAAAGTAACCTCTATAACACTGACTAAGTAAACCGTAACATTGATCGAGTAACTCCTATAACACTGACGAAGTAACCCTTTTAACACTGAATATGTAACCCCTATTACACTAACGAAGTAACTCATATATTGGATGGCGGCCACACCGTATGGCTAACCACATATAAGACTTTGTGATTCCCACTTCAACTTTATGAATTTCATATCTTCGTTAAACGCTAATTTAATATGAGTACGAGTAACCAAAATATACGACACTTGTAAGACTTTTTCACGAGGATAATTCTTATGGTCTCTTCACTTCATCTTAATTTCAGTTCAGCTTTTTATTTCCTTCTCTTATAAAATATTCATTTATGACCGGATGGCTTTAATAGACTTGATCACATAGGTTGAGGTTAGTAGATTTCAACACTTAATCAAATGTTTTTAACTAGTAAGAAAGGTCTTCACGTCATCAACGAATAAAACAGTGTCACAGTCAGATATTGTACGTCTGTGCCATTGTTTTAAAGTGGCTGCTTTTATGTCCGACTTAGTGTAAACAAAAATTTTGAGTTTGCAAAATAATCAAAATAAATGCAACAAATTAATTTTATTAATATAATAATTTTTTGAGTACAATCTCTAATATGATCCACTGTTTCAATCTCCACACTATGTTGTCAGATGACTCGATTTGTTGTTGTCGAAATTCGCTTTTCTCTAGATTTTTCTTGTGTGTGAAATGAGGGAAGAGAGCCCTATTTATAGAGTTCTCCCAAGCTAGGGTTTCAAGATAACCACTAAATGAGTCTTATATCATTTAACATAGGCCAAAGTAACCTAGATTAACTATTTAGTCAATATACACGAGTCAACAATTTGACTTTGACCCGAATAATATGTAACGACACTTGATAAAATTTCCGTGCCTACACTTAGGTCATTTTTTTTATTCTAGACTTTTGATGAAAGCATGTTAATGGTTTAGTCAAGATTGAGCATTCAGCCATTTAGCAACCAGGAGTCCAGGACTCCCAAAGATTCAGCAATGAATAATCAGAAATCAAACACTTCACAAAGCTTTTCAAAAACCTATACGAAATCTGTTACAGGGCAAATGTTAAATGAATTACAATAACAAACAAGATTAGCCCCAAACATTTTGACAATGTCTTCTCAATTAAATCATCAGCTTTCTTCAACCATCTATCAGTACAACACTTTTTCTACTCTGTCTACCTCAGTCTCTCTCTTTCTTTCGAGAGTTGGAAAGAATCCGCAATCTAAAATAAGAATCTAATACCTAAGGGCTTATTCTACAATTTTCTACTTGTTGGCTCCACTTGCAGCAACTATTATGTAGAAGCAAATCCGCTTGGAAAAGCAAAGACTGGTGTCAGCACTCATTTGAAAACATCAGACTTCAAAGCCATTTCAGAATATCCAGTATAACAGACATTTGTAAACTGATGGCTTCAAAGGCATTTTAGAATATCCGGCTACACAGATATTCGAGAACCTCGAATATAATCTCAAAATTTCTTGACTAGCTTGCTCATGTTACCGCCGAGAGGTTCGAGACCTTGGCTTAGCTCTCTGCCAAATCAAAAAGCAATGGGATGAGTAACAAGAATTAACACACCAGTAAAATATTGACCTCTGTTTTAAAAATATACGACAGCTTAAGATATCTGAAGGTCAACAGGTTCTTTCTGACCATATGCTTATGTAGCAAGAAATGTTCTCACAAAATTGTCTAAGCAAGAAGTTGTAAATTATAAAACATAATTTCATGAACAAGAATACTGGAAACTATGGTTGATGTGATCACATGGGGAAAAAAAATTGGCAAGCAGAAATGTGGTATACACATCACATGGGGAGGGAGGGGGTGGGAGGACTTTACCAAAAAAGATAACATACTGTAATAAAGTAGTAATTTTGGAACATACCAAAATAAAAAAATAAAAAAAAACAGGAAAAAATACGAGACAGACTGCAGAGAGTGGTATAGAAGGATTAATGTTAGCAACCATAAATGAATGAGACTTTGACTTACATTTGTAGCTCCAAAGCTTGACCCTGATCCTAATGCAGAACCTGTTAATCAAGGGAAATCAGGAACCAAAAGAATGACAAAATCCACCAATTTTGCACAAAATAAGTGATCCTTTATGCATTGATCAGATAAGAATACATCGGATACTATATACGTGGTATATTTTTATACATGGATCAAAGCATACAAAGAATAGCAATATAGCAAATTAAATGAAATAAAAGAAGATTGATATAAATTTAACTGCTCAAACCACGTAGAAGGTGAAATTACATTATGGCCCAAAATGCAAAAAATAAAAAAAGCCGGAAATTTATGAAACCTCTAAATAAATCCAAAGAAACTATATGAATACAAAACGGTTGAAAACAAACAGCATAAAAAGCATAATTATAAACAACTGCCTCCACAGGTCCAAATCTCTTTAAAAAAAGACACTCTGTGATAGATTGATAGAGCATGTGCAATCAACATTCCATCCAGACAGAAAAGGATGTCCAAAACAGCATAGATGTTTCAATCAAGATTTTTTTTTTCCTCAGTATCCTGGTGGGATGTAGACACAAATAAGCCATATGCTCACAGATATGTACAAGAATAAAGCTTCGGCTTCTGTGATACTATATTGGGCAATCAGTTAACCAACGAGGCTCCTAATCACCCAATCAGTTACATCAATTTATGAACCCTTAAAAAATGCTAGTATAAAAATGATAAAGGACGACAAGGCAACAACAACTCAATAGTCGATCCATTGAGCTCCTGCCAGGAAAAAAATTCATATGATACACCAAATTCAGGCTGCAATGATATTAGTGAGATTTTAAAGCAGCATGTTCTTTAAGGTAGCCTAATTATAGGGACTGGGCCATAGGTCTCTTAACTGTATGTACTTACATACTCACTTAAAAACAAGTGTGTATATAAAAGTCCATCCCCACTGGAGAGAAACACATAAATACTAACTAATATATAAATAAGATCTACCAGGTCCTTAATTCAATACTATTACACAGAAAGTATTCAAGTAAGCTTGAAGTGTTATGTACCTGAACCAAAAGGAGTTGAAAATAGGGAGTTTCCAGCTGGTGCAGAAGCAGGAGCACTGCCACCAAATAAGGAGGCTGTTGAGGCTGATGGAAATGCCGGTGATGAGGAAGGGAAGAGTGAGGTTTGAGGAGAGGCCATAGATGTAGAAAAAAGGCCCCCTGAAGCAGATGCAGGGGTTGAAAACAGAGAAGATGAGGACGTGCTAGCAGGAGTAGCTCCAAAGAGAGAAAACCCAGTTCCAGCTGAAGATGACACTGGTGCTCCAGAAGTCTGTGGTGCGGTAGATACCCCAGGAGCCCCTGAGCTAGCAAACAATCCAGCAACCTGAGTTGTTGGCTGTGGTGCTGCTGGCAGATGCAATGTTGGGTGCACTCTTTTAGCAGCTGCTTCTTGTCTGGCCACTTCACGCCTGTCAGCCTCCAAAAATGGGTCACCAACATCCCCACGACGTCTCTGGTCAGCAAGATATGCTGTTCTCATGGATTCAATGTACTGATGAATACTTTCAACCTGAAACAATGTAACACAGAATTCATCGATTTTCACAAGGGAATCGAGGAAGAGCAGGAAATAACCAAAAGGAATACTGATGGTTAACTTTACACTAAGAGGCAAAACATTTTGAGAGGCATACAAAACTGCAAAAGCCAATGCAAAGCAGAACCAACAGGAAGTATAATGATAAATCAGTCATCAGAAAAAAAAAATTACACAACCACTATGGATAAGGATGGACAATTCACCAACATACTAAAGCAGTTGACATATCATTGCACTACAAAGGCACTTCCCATGAACAAAGTCCCTCACGAGTGCTTTCTTGTCCCCCCTTACAAGATCAATTGGTTACAAAGACTAAACAATTGTAATACTCAGCGATGAAATGTCCTGTCCAGATGTATTGCCTACGCAAAAGAGGCTATCAGCTTAATCAACAGTTAAGCAGCATCTACAACACTTGCTAATTAAACAACCAACGTTTTATGCATATGCAAGAAATTTCGGAATACTGCAATACAAACCAGAAATAACTAAATACAGATAAATTTAGCATTCAATTGCATGTCTGATTACCTTAGCAGCCACGTGCACAAAAAATTCATGTACATTGGTCAGAACTTTAGGAAAAGACTGCAAAACCGATGAGTTTAAAGTTATAGAATTTCGATCAGAATCTGAGAGTAGAAGCTGCTCTAACTCCTCAATCCATTGCCGGCACTCCCCTATGTACTTCTCAAATCTAGCAACTGTTTGCTGCATAAATGGAGATGGTTTCTTTGGAACCCCACTGTAAAAATCATTTACTGGCACCATAGAGCTGGCAGCTGCTTGACTTGATCCGCCAGGTGTTGTTGATGTACCAGGGGTTTGGGCTGATGCAGTAGTATTTGAAGCAGTTCCACCTTTTTGATGAAGAAACCTTGGCCGAAGAATCATAAAAGAACGAATGGCAATCTCGGCGTTTCTTAGCATTTCCTTTACACCACCCATCAACTCATGCAATGTCACTTTCTGTCTTTCCATGGATGTACTAATTCCGCCAAGTTCCTGTGAGAACATCAAAATACTGCTCTCAATGTTCTTCTCTAAAATTAAAAGGGAAAAATCTATATAGAGGTCTGATGCCTAAATTTAGGACTATCATGCACATTTACTATCAATTCTTACTACACGAAACGAAATTTAGACACTCAATTTCAATAATGGAGAGAGTAAACAAATTTCATGAATAGTTTAATTACAATAATGGTGTGACTACACAAGTTTCATTAGTAGCCTTTTTGGGAATATCAATCATGAAGCCTTAACTTAACAATGCGACTAGCAACACCATATAGTTCGAGTTTCACAATACAAGGCAACTCCGGCAACAACCTATATTTGACATAAAGTTCGAAAAAATAACAAAAACAAGATTAACATAAACAGTGAGAAAATAAGTAACCTGAAGAATGCGGCTAGCATCAAGCTCGAAAGTATTATTGGAGACCGAAGAATCGAAGAGGCGGTTACATTGATCTAAACTCTGACTCTCACCTCTGTACTCCAGTATTCTATCCCTAATAACCCAAAAATCAAAATTAAAATAATAAGAATACGGCCATCAATTAAAACGGAAATTAAATCAAAATCAAGAAAACTCCCATCAATTAAAACAGAAAATTTAAAAACAAAAAGGAAAATCAAAAGAAAAGAAGCCAAGAAAGAAACTTTACTCAATTTGCAAGAGAACTTTCTGGGAGTCAGGGTGAAGATCTGCCCATTTAGTACTGTAACTTGCTGGGGTTTTCTCATTTGTAAACAAAAACAATTGCTGTTGTTGCTGTTGCTGTTGTTGCTGCTGTTGCTGCTGCTGTTGGAATTGAAACTGTTGTTGCTGCTGTTGTTGCTGTTGCTGCTGCTGTTGTTGTTGTTGCAAGAAAGGATTCGATTGTTGTTGGGGTTGTGTTTGCAATTGAAAGGGAGATTGTTGTTGTTGCTGTTGTTGGGGAGTTGAGAAGAGAGAGAAAGACGACATTGTTAAATCTTGGCTAGTGGAGGAGAGAGAAAATGTAGCATTTGTAAATTGAAAGGGTTTGAAGAATGAAATTTGGTTGCTAAATTGGCGCGATTGTAAAAAATGGAAGAAATTTTGGGGGAAATTGAAAAACAAAACCCCCTTTCGACTGTTTTTCTGGGTTTTAAAAAACCCTAGTCGAAGAGGGAAGCTGATGAATGAAGCAATAATGTTGAAGATCTTGGAAGTTAAGTTCGGTGCCCCAAATTACGGTTTGGGCCGGTTTTCGCCATTTCGTATTTATATGTTAGCGTCTATTATAAGTCTAAGCCCAAACATAAAAGATCTTGTTTTTGTACTCCCTTACACAAGTAATGCTTAGCTTGTTTGAACTTTGGTTTTGACTTGAGCTAACTTGTTAAACATAGTGGGTGGGAATGCCCCCTCAATCCCCTCATACTCGTTCCGACCTAAAATTTTATAAATAGAGTGAGTGCGAATGCCCCTTCAATCCCCTCATACTCGTGCCGGCCTAAATTTTATAAATAGACTGGGTGCGAATGCGGAATGCCCCCTCAATCCCCTCACACTCGTGCTGATCTAAAATTTCTATATACACCACCTATCCAGTTGGCCAATACCCACCATTCATGGTAGCCTTTATAAATTATAAGTAGACATCCAATGTTCATTCTATCATTTAAGTTGACATCCATAATGTATGAATATATTGTTATATACACCCGGGTATACCGTACACCCATAAGTATTTATTCCCATTTTAATGATTGTTTTTCATTTTATCATCAAATGAATAGCAAAAACTAAACTTAGATTGATTGTACGTAATAATAAGGATTGTAAAGTACAGAGTAATGGTTTGGTGGGTATATGACGGGGTTATCAAAAGAACAGATGTGGGGAAAAACTAATGAGACTCCTATGATATCAAAACTCACCAATTTTATACTACCCATAGTGCCCAAATACATAAAAAAAATTTGATATTCATATTTTCTGACTACTTATCGATATTACTATACTGAAATTGCCAAATTATACTCCGTAGGTTGTTTATTAAAAAGACATGTTAGATCGATCAAATTAATTTACCTAATTTCAACACAAATGTGTGTGATGCTATTGAGTGGGGACAACTAGTTGGAGATTCAATCCGTGACTTTACGCCTGAAAGTCGGAGATCTAGTTAACTTTTCTAACCTCCTTTGTGAGTTAGATATTCTTTGACTTGGTAGTGTATTTTTCTCATTAAATAGAAAAGCGGCAATATATACAAATTTAAAGTACATGTATGTTATTGTTTCATCATAGACAAATACGAAGTAGAACTCAACTAGCCTACCCCCCCCCCCCTCCCCCTTTTTTTTTAATCAAGGAGTCGTGACAAGTTTTTTCATGTACATTTTCATAGGCTAAATCCAAGGATGTGTAGAAATGTAGAATATTGATTTTAACTGCAATTAATATTATATCCAAGTAGTTTGACATTTATGTCCAAAAAGAGGAAGTGAACAGCAATACAAACGTAGGTGAGTAGTTTTTTTATTTGAAACGGTAATGACTAATGAGTAGTTTTTTCATAGGGATTCCCAGTTTAATAAACATCACTTTATACTTACTCGATCTTTATCCACCTACGTTTTTATAATAATACTCCGTAATGTTTTTGTGATTACGTACTAATGTACTATGCGATCCCATTATCATGGAAAACTTCAAATCCTCCAATTATATGCAGAGTATCACACTATCACGAGTATAATAATGTTCCTACTACAGTAGCTATAACAATGAAGAGGATCGCGGAATCTAAGAATCATTTTATCTCAACAATGGATTAATTACTAAGACAAAAAAATACTACTCCGTATCATTCTATCAATATGCCTCCGTCTCATCTTACTTGTCTATGACTATATTTAGTGATAGCTTAAATGAGACAAGTAAAATAAAGGACGGGGAGATCAAGAAACAATTGGGTTTAGTATTCATTAATCATTAACCCAGGCTATCTTCTATTCATAGAAAACAAATTAAAGGCATTACAACCACCAAAACTCACTAATCACTACATATGATAATATGATCTCAAGCTGTTCATAGCAGGTTCAATTACACTACTGAAATTTCACTCAATTTCCACATTAACCTACCTAACCCCCCTTCAAAATTACAGCCATACCCTCCCAGTTACACCATAACCATAACATTAGTACGGAGTATAAAACAAAAACTACAATAATTTAATGATTTTTTTTTTCCCTTTGATTATGTTTTTTTAATTTTCTAAGAAAAAAGAAAAGGGAATTGGGGGAGAATTTGATTAATCTCACTTTAGACCATTGCCCGTTGTAGAAATTGCAAGTTCTGGTAAGGAATTATAACATTCACCACCAACAAACCCAACCACTTCACCACTCTCCATGTGCCACGTGTCACTTCTACTCACACCCCCTTCTCCACCACCACCTGCTCCTCCACAACCACCGCCGTTGCCACCATTCACATACGAGCCAACTTCATGATGAGGAAAAGCCCAAACCCCACGTCCAAGCCCAAACCCAACTTCATCAAGCCCAAGCCCAAGCCCAAACCCACCTAACGCAAGTATCCCACCAGGTCCACCACTACTCAGCAACGAGGTAAACCCACCGCCACCAACCGTAGTTGAAGGAAGTGTAACATAAACAGGAGTAGCCTGGTGAGAAACGGGTATGGGCTCAAGACCCGGCCCAATAGAAACACCCGAAGAAGTAGAAGTACTAGAAGTAACCAATGATGAAGAAGTACGTGAGCGCTTAGCCGTCTTACGGGACCCACCACCAACAGGGATGTCACGGAGGGTGCCACCGTGGGTCCAGTAACGACGGCAAGACTTACAAAAGTGACGTGGCTGAGAGAAGTTGTAGTTGTTGTAGTAACAGAATTTTGTGTTGGTTGAAGTGCAACGTGGACAAGGGAGTGGGTCTTGTTGTTCCACAGGCGGTAACGGCGCTCCCATCTGTTGCGCCCTTACCGCCCGTCTTTCGGCCGCCTCGGTCGGCATATGTGTATGTGTATGTGTGTTAATAATTCAAAGGAGAATCTTCTAATTAAGAGGAGGAGTTTTGAGTTTGAGTAAGGGTGTATGTGTTTGTTTAATTTGATTGAGAGAAAAAAAAAAGGGAGGAAGAAGGGTATTAATATGGAGAGTGGTAGTAGTGAGATTGTGAGAAGAGGCAGAGCATGCAGAAGAAGGCAAACAGTGAGGAGAATTGAGAACAGCTTTATTCAGTTAATCAGTCGGGTGTTTGGGGAGAATTTTGATAATTCTTTTTTTTGTTTTCTTTTCAGTGAGACATAATAAGTTAATGGATAAGGACTTGCCAATATTACTGTTTTTTTTTTTTTTAAATTAAAATGATTTTTTTTTTTTTTTTTTTTTTTTTTTTTTTATAATTAGGAGAGTGATTTACGAGTATGTGATATTCATGGTTTTGGGTACCTGTCATTTTATAGTGCTATTTCTACAGATTGTCTTTGACCAAAATTTGGTAAAGGGTAGAAAGTTTGTTTGTATTATTGTAAGGGCTAAGGCAAATGAGGTAAAAAAATCTTTTGCTCAGATATTAGAATCGAACTGGATTTATGTGGGGGACTAGGGCCTTTTTGTTGTCAAGGGTTCAAGGCTAATGTTGTTGATTCTGTTTTGAACTTTTGATTTGCCTTTGACATTTATTGTTAGTGCATACTCTGATGTAGTTTGTTAATTCAATACTTAGATTTGATGTTATTAGTCGATTGTATTAGTTGATTTAGCTAGTTATTATCGTTAGTGTTAAGTGTATGATTAATTAAATAAGTAACAATCAGATTATATGAATTATCTAATTCATTGTTTAGATAGATGATCAATAAAAGTATTGCTGAGTAAAATAAACATGCTAGCATCATTCTAAACAATATAAGTACTATATTTGACTAGGATTGTGATAAAATATTGGTTTCAATCTCTTTTGGTAATTGGTGTTAATCTTATATTATAATTCTCACAATTAAAATATTCTCTCAAAGTCTCAACCAAACACTCTCAAGTCTCTATTGTAGAGGCAACTAGTAGTTTTATTATATTCTAAATCCAAGTAAAAGTTGGTTGTCTTACATATATGATTTTATGAATTTGCTGAATTGTCTTTCCTCTATTTGGTTTTGATTAAAATACGTATGTGAAATGTGAATATTACTTTAGTCTTTAAGATAGAGGTATAATTATAATAGCAGCATAAATTTTGTGGACTCAATACATTACATGACGCACGAGTCAAAGCATTAACCATGCAATAGAAAGAAGGAATGATAATGCTGGGGCACAAGAGAATACTTATAAAGAATCCATTCTTGAAAGTTCTAAAATTGTAATAGTACTATGCTATCATGCCTGCTAAAAAATATGCACGGGTCATAGTGGCTCTCTCTCGTTCACTTTTCAAGCCTAAGAATATGAAGATTATATGCAATCATTTAAAGTTAGGATAATAATTAGTGACCCATGATGATGATGGTCTGAATTTTTCTTTAATATCTTGCAGGATTAAATACAATATCGACCAGTTGCACTGGCTAATTAGTTTGTCATGCAAAATTCTCAATAGCATATTATATGACAAATTAAAAGTATAAAATTATTATATAAAAAATAAAAATATCACATAAATGATCAAGGACAAACCATGCAAACATGAAACAGGTTATTTGCAAATACACACGATTGTATCAAAATATACAAAAATAAAAAATATAAATCGAGTAAAAAGTCGAACACAAAGTTATTCAAATAGAGTGCCGGTTCATTGAATAAATTTCAAATATTTCTGCTAGTTAGTTTGTTCATTGTTAATCTGTTATACATTTTAAAGATTTAAGAATAATTAAGACCAAGTTCATGCATCATGAGAAGTTTAGAACAACTGTAGAACACCTAAACTATGACTCTTCAGAATATAAATTTGACATTTTGGTCCATATGTCTGTTTAACATATTCATGAATTTGGATCGGCAAGCAACTCACGTAACTATTAATAAGTAATCAAATATTCTAATTGTGAATCACCGAAAAGAAAAAAAAAAAATACATAGCTCCATTTATAAATTAAGTTGGCAGTTATTCTTCATATCATATAGAAATGATAATACTTCTATTCATCGATGAGCCTATAAATTAAAGTGTTGAAGCTAAAGATGGGCACAAGTCGGGTTTTGTAGGCCCATGTGTTGCTAGACCTATGTCAACTTTTTAATTTGATATTCATACATAACCAATGGCTTATTAACGTGCTTCTCATACCATGCCATTTTTGTATCGTGTTTGGTTAACCCTTAGCTTGTGCCGGCCCTGTCCATGCCCTCCTCCAGTCGGATCCTTGTAATGTCTTTTCTCCCTTCTTTTAATTCCATAAAAGATCATAATTATAAGGTTGAAAAATCCCAACATCATTTCTAATACAAACTACCAAATAGTAAATAATAAGTCATTGTGTGGAACATTTATACATTTCATCAAGAACACTACAACTTTTTTCTATGCAATATTTGCATTGACAAATTTGAATGCCTTACCTACCACTTTGATAGGGACTTAGGAGTATTAAGTTACATTTGTTTAAGATTGATTTTTATCAAGCTTTAGGCTATTTTCATTACACTCATTGAGATATAAATCCATTAGTAGTCTAGTAGACCTAAACCTCTTAATAAGGTAGGGTTTAGTCATAAGATCAGAGAAGACTGCCATATTTTTTTATATATTTTTCTTTTAAAACAAAAAAAAGTTTGATTTTATAGATAATGCCTTCCAACCTTTACTCATTCTCGAAAAGAATTTAGGTCCCTTAAATAATTAATTGGAGTATTGTTACTGTATATATAGTAGGAAAATTTGCCATGAATAATATCACCTTGCACCGGTCTTCCAATAATAGAACCACCTTTGGATTATCTCAAAATAACATGACCTTTGACATACATCTTCTATAAATAGAACAAAAAACCGGTAACCTGTTTTATAGGTTACATTGGACACGTGTCGCGTTGTAATTTGTTAATTTTTTTTAATAAAAAACCTAAAATTTAAATTAAAAAAAACCATCTTCCTATTCAGCATCCCCCCCACCTCCACTTCCCCTTCCCCCTCCCCTGACCTCCCCGTTCAAATCCTCGCCTGTCAGCCTACCATTCACCGAGAACAACCCCGGCCCCCTCCACAGCCTCACCCTCAAAACTGCCCTCCCTTCCACCCCCACACTCGAACAGCCACGTATCCCCACCCACACCCTCGAAATCGCCTCAAAGCCACCGCTTCGCCCTTAAAACCACCTCAAAATCACCGACCTGCCCTTGAAAACGCCTCAAAACCACCGCTCTGCCCTTGAAATCGCCTCCAAAACCATTTCCCTCACTTGCTGGAAAATTGAGAGAGATCAAAACCTTTTCCCCCACCTGCCGGAAAAGAGAGAGAGAGATCAAAACCCTATCCCCTACCAACTGAAAAAGAAAGAGAAAGCTTGCGTGAAGGGGAGGGGGTGTCGAAATCTGGGTAGGGAAGGGAGGGGGTTCAGAATCGGGGACGGGGTAAGGAAGGGGGACCGAAATCGGAGACGGTGTAGGGAGACCGGAATCGAGGACGGGGAGGGGGCCAAAAAACGCGGATGAGGACGAGACGGGGGAAGAGAGGGGGCCCCACGCTGGTGGTTTCCGATTAGGGGGCTTTTTAAAAAAAATGAAAATTGATTAAAAAAATAGACTAATCACATTGTGACACGTGTCACAAGTAACTTATTAAACAGGTTACCAACCGGTCACGTTCTATTTATAGAAGATGTGTGTCAAAGGTCATGTTATTTTGAGATAATCTAAAGGTGGTTCCATTATTGGAAGACCGGTGAAAGGTGGTATTATTCTTGGCAAATTTTCCTATATAATATGTGTCGTAAGTATAATAGATATTAGGAAAATCCAAATACAAAGTACGTGGTAGATTTTATTCATTTAACCTTTTGATTTGGAAAATATACAGTATTATTTGGAATACATGTGTATATAATCTCATTAATTTAATTACCTTCTAAAGTCTTCTTAAAAAATAGAGTGATTATTTAAAAAAAAAAATGTGTAAAATGAAGCAACATATAATATAATAGGGCGGCTTAAGTGGAGGGGTGAAAGAAGGGGGGGCCAAGTTTGAACGAGATGAGCGGTAAAATGGAAGAAGAGAAGCAATAAGACAATAATAACCAATGTCCAATAAGCATTCACAGTTGGTAGGTATTATGATAGTGTCGGAGAAGCGTGGTATACAATTATTGGTTTTGCTCCTCTGATTTCGGCATCTCATCTCATTCTTCTTCTTCCATTTCTCTCTCTTCCGTACTCTCTCTGCCCCTGATTTCTCGCCTCACTGTTCCCTTAACACACCTATTCTCTTCACCCCCCTTGTCCTTTTTCCTCTACTCCCTTGTACTACTAGGCTCTACCACTACTCACCCTGACCCACATAATTAGTAATTCAAGTTACTCCTAAGACTAATTTATCCTATTAGTAAGAGTATACCAAGTTTCTTACGACGACTACAAGTTTTGTTAGCACTAATCCAAGTTGGAGTAGTGAATGCATCATTATTAATTTTATCTTTTAATCTTTCTAGGAAGACGACCTTGCTCTACTCCGTATGATAATATAGACTACGTACTTATATATGCTATGGAGTGTATACACTACCTTAACGGTTTAACAAGATGAATAGATGATTAGTTATTTATACTACGCATTTATTAAAATAAGATATTTAACACAAAATCAAGCTGATTTTTGTGGTGAATGGACATTGAGCTTCATATGATCTTAAAGTTAATATCATCGTCTTTGTCCCTAATTTTTGTCGTTATGTGATTTTGATAACAAGGAATAACACATCAACTCAAAGTGACCGAAGACTATTGTAAGTTGATGTGCTGAAAAGATTAGTATGATCGATTAGCAATTATTATTAAATACAATAAGAAGGTATCATGATTTGGGTAAAGTAGGACAGTTATTTGTTAAAGCTAGAATTCCCCTCCAACCTTTCATTCCCCCTTTTTTTTTTTTACCTTTTGGAACTACACCGACTATAAATTTCATATAAGTTGTGTTATCTTCACTTTATACTCCGTACTTAAGTTTATATTTCTCTTAGCTTGAACTTATTGTATCCGTATATTTAATTATTAGAAATGTATTGTAATAGTGATATGACCTTATACAACCCTCAATTTGGTCATATCAGAAACATTATGCATACTCCATGTATGTTTCAGATGGATCAGAGTATCAGACAGAAGAAAAAAAAGACAAATAAAAGAATATGAACAACAAAAATACAACACAAAGCATAATGCAAATGCATGCATTGTTGGAGGAGATAGGAGCGAATAACAATCCCACGCGAGGGATACAAAATGCAGTATGTCTCTCTGCAACACAGAGGATGCTCACACGTCACTCTCAACACAACAAGCCTAATTTCAATCAACTATTCAACATACATACCCAGCCCAACCCATGTAATCAAACACATTATTGTATGCGACATTACATACACGTAATATACACTGCATATTTTGATATTTTTCCCCTACAGTCAATTCATTCGGGTGTCCAGGTCGGGTTTGGTGAAGTTGAGTCGGGTTGGACCTATTTATAAATCTGAATCATGCTAAATTCTTATATACAATGTATAAATTTAATTTTTTAAGATTTGTTTCGGATCGGATCGGGTTATTCGGTAGGTTTTTGACACCCCAACCTACTCAAACAGAGCATGTTAAAAACTGACACAGTGACACTCTTCAAATATTCACTTATACCTATACTCCGTAGTCTTTATTTTACGTACAGTACATACATAATACATCTTCCAGATATTTGTCCTTCACCTCCCCTCATCCTTTTCTTCTTTGGCCTTTTCTTGATTCCTTTTTTTAAAAAAAAAAATTAAAAAAAAATATATATTTTCTCTCCTCTACCTGTCATGGCTCAGATCATGGTTATTAGTTTGTATTTGTAATGGACAACATCTTTCTGCACCATTTCTGCAGTGAAGATGATGGTAAATAATGGTTGTATATATTATTTTCTCTCATTTATAATTTCGTGTTTATTTCAACCGTTACTCTTTTTCCCAACTTAATTGATGTCAAATCAATTTATCACATAGCTTGTCAATTGCACTATTACAATTTAACCAAATTCGGAGCACTATACAGTATCCATGCGTCTATATAGTACAGTCACCTATGATTTGATACTGATGGCTTTGAAATTTGAATGGTCTGGGGTTTGATTTTTGTCTACTACATGAATTGAAGCTGCCTTGAAAATGCATCCATGTTATGTACCTACTTAAGTCGTACTAATTCTGTTCATTCCGTCTTAATCAAATTAGATTTAAGGTGAATAACAATAGTACCGCCAATTAATGTTTTAGGGGATGATAATGACCTCACGAGACCCTAATTAGGTTGTTTAGGTACAGACGTACAATATTCATGAAAAGAAGGTGCGGATTGGATCTTTAAAACTGATGATACATATTCTTATTTAGAATAGTATGGAGTACTCCATAGCTAATTGTAACTGTAGCTGAATGGTCTGGGTACAAAATGAACCATTAGAATGAATAACCACGAGTGACACGCCGGCTTAAAAAATGATAATCACACAAATTTTCAAAATTTATTCACTCACATGTTTGATTAGTAACCATGGAATCAAGAAAAATACACTACATAACAATAACATGATTAACATCAATCCTCGCTCTTTGCATATTCTCACAAGTCTAATAATCACTAAACTAACATAACCACCTTTTACTAAAGGTCATTGACTCATTGTAATGTATTGACAAGAATAAAAGTTAGATTAATGCAGTTAACAAAAAGTTGATAAAATATGGAATACATACTCGTAATATACGAAGTATGATATGACCAAAATTAGTAAGATAAAGAAAAAAAAAAAAACGTAAAGCCCTAATTGAGCCAGCCAGTATTCATGATTCCAATATCAAGTCCGGTCTGAATTTCGCCGATCCAAACCAACCAGGCCCATTGCAATGTTAAGCAATTGTTAAGCAAGTTTTAAAAAAAAAGAATAAATTATAGAAATTGGTATGCAGAATTGGAGATGATTAATAGTGACATTTGATATTGTTGCCTAGTTGGTAGTGTTGGTACAACGTAATGATAAGTTGATAAAAACGCACAGTTGGTGGGCAACAATTTGGTAATTAAAATTGACTTGTATGACTTGAAGATAGACTGGGCAATTTTTTTCAACACTATGTTTTTACTTTTTAATGTTTGAGTAATGTCTTATATATATATGGAAATAATCGTAAAATATTAAAAAAAATTACATTACATTTGAGGTATACTAATTTCTCAAGGTAAAGTTACAAAAACATTTGTTATATGACATGAATAAGGGGAAACAAACTCAACTAGAGGCAATAATACATACACAAAAGTACATGTATAAAACATAGGAGCATCCACAATCAATGGTTCCTAAGTTGCCGAAGGTTCATGGGAGAAATGTACTTGGTGTCTCCATCAAGTAGTTGTTTGGCTAACAATACATTAGCCGCCTCGCTTGGGTGGTAAGGATCCCAAAACACATGCTTATCACGGTCAGTACACAAACTTGAGCTCGGTCCACATGGAATTATCCCCGCGAACTGCCCTCCATTTCCACAACATGCTCTGCTTGCTGTGCTAAACCCTACACAATAATCAATAATCAAGAAAAATACTTAAGACCTTGTTCTCTTTATCTGATTTTAATTAGACCAATTTTGTTATAACGGACTACTCATGAGTGTGACACGTACCATATTTCTTGTAATTAGTGATAAGTTCCAAGACAAGATCATAGACATTCGCGTAAACAAAGGTTGATTCAGGAAGAGTTTCTGTCAACTGAACAAGAAGATCCTTTAATTTGGCATTGTATTGACGTGCTAGCTTATCAGCCAAATCCACACATTCATTTTCGTTCAACTGATTAATTGTCTTCTGATAAGGAATGCACCCAATCGGTCCAACATTCGCCACCACAAATTTCCTACCATCCAACCTATATAACCTCTGCCATATAGTAATCGTATACAACATCAGCTTCTTAAATTAAGATACCGCGATAATTACAAGAGATTAGTAAAAGAAGAGGTAATGCTTACTGTAAGCTGGTCTCTTAGATGATTAATCATGTCATCAGTAAAGGAGTCAGCAGTTTGAGAAATTCTGGCTCCAATAGAAATAACCGGAAGCAAGTAATTATTGAGGAAATCATTTGATCCAACTGTAACTGAGAATATTGATTTTTTCTGTATGTAATCTCTTGCACTGGATGCTCCCAACAATTGGTCAATTTGTTTTCTTGTAATGTTGAAATAATCAACTTGGACATCCATTCCAAGCCTATTTACCTACAATTGCAACATAATTAAATGTTTCATTTAAACCTATTTTACGTAAAAAGTAGCACATAACGTGTTAAAAACATAAAATAATTTATAACTCGGATTTTATATTAGATTGAAGCACTATATTGACAAGCGTTAAATGCCAACCACTATTGAATTATCCATACGTTATTTGTATTCTGTATAAGATAAAGGAAAAAAACTCAGATTTTAGATTAAATAAAAAGGATCTGGTGAGCTTACAAAAATTCTTCCAGTAGCATTCAAAATTCCACCACCACCTGAGGCATAGTTAACTCCAGATAGTATGGCTTTTCCGGTAGCATTTGGGGCCAAAAACGGAGTAGCATAAGTTGGGATGCCCATCATTTCTCCTGTTAGGCCCAAAAAACAGAACCAACAAAGATCACTAACTATTTGGGCCTAAAACTCAGCCTAAGCCCAATTAAAACAGGCTGGGCCGAAAAAATTGATTAAAAAATGTACAGAAAATTTACCTACAATATCTCCAATGGTTCTACCGTTAGTAAAACGCCCGGTTGGAGTACCACCAGAAGCCTTAAAATCAATACCATTTGGAGTCGTATCAGCTTTAGACAATGTGCTCAGGTAGTTATTATTTCCTGCATCAACCAAAGAGTCTCCAAATATAAAGGAAGCTCCTAGCGCTTTACCATTATCATCCGCGTTACCAATTGGAATCAAACCTGACAAACTCGATACCATCATCAAAGTTGTAATAAAATTAATTCTTCGACGATTAACATCAAAATAAGAATACGAAAATGCCATATGAGCTTGCTTAAACTTAAACAAAGCTCTCGGTCACGTTGTTTAGAGAGCAAGCTGAGAGAGAAATGATAATTAGTTTGATGTATGTGTATTTATGTGAAGGTATGAAGAAACTTGTAACGTTGAGGAAATTGATAAATTTGGTTTGACCCAAGTTTATAATAGTAAATGGATGGTTTGAGAAGAATATGGAATGGTGTATTATGATATGCATATATATGATAAATTCAAGGAGGTAGTTTAGCAACAATTGGTGTATTAATGGACTAGTTTGAACAAGCGTATAATAGTAACCAATCTAAATATAAGTGTTACTCTTGGAAAAAGTGAGAGCGTTGCATGTAAGTAGAGAAATGGTTTTATTGGTGAAGCTTAGGTGTTGTTAGGTTGACGGTTTATAATTGCTTGTTCTAATTTGGTCTTACACATGGAGGACTTTGTTGTTAGTGTAGAAAGTGATTTAAGTTAATTAATTACAATTCTTTTAGTTGAGATGGGGAAAAAAAAATTGTAGAAGGTACCCAAGATGTGGAGCTACAATATAATTGTACGTGTTTTAGGGGGGTGACAGAGTTCTTGGTTATAGGGGAACATTTAATGTGTGTTTTCGCAATTCCAATTGAATGTTGATAACACAAGTTGAAGAGTAATTTTTATTGTGTACGTTTAAATAAATGTAAGTGTTGTGTTATAATAAGTTTGATGCATGTGAATATAAGTGAAGGTATCAAGAAAACACTAAATAAATACAAAGTAACAATTCGATACATTGTCCGAGCCACACACTAGTTTTAGTATTACATTATCTATCCATATGAAAAATATGTCTATAATAAGCATTAGTACGTATATCCTTACCATCAAAGAGAAATGGAAACAAAATCACTATAACAAATTTATTATGATTTAGAAACCCATATGACGTTTGATTGATTGTGATTATACATAGTACGAATACAAACTAAAATTTAGTTAAACTCGGCTTTCATTGATAATATCAATAATTGTGTGATTGCATCATACATTCACACGTCTCTATATCATTGCCAATTTAAGAAATGTATCAATGCCAATTAACCTTATACATACATCATTATCTAATAAACTCAGCTTCCATTGTATGAATTTTCCTCAGTATAATCTTTTTTTAATGCATAGAATATCTTACCTTAATACAAAATCAGATTCAAAACTAGAAATAAATCAATTTCTTACCTTTTTTTTTTTAAATCACAATAACATTCCAAATATGTTACGAATTCAAATATCCCGATGAATAATAATTCACTCATAAAGTCATAATCATAATCTTACCCGTTACATCATTGTCCATATTAGGATACAAATTGTTTACAATCAAAATGAGCTCCCATGGGCCAGTATTGTATATTGTATATCCATTCTATTTTTAAGAAACAGAATCATCCATTTAAGCCCATGTTATGCAAAATTACCTTATTATTGTAACTGAAAATGAAAAACGAGTACATAAAATAATCACTGTTCAAAAACATTCAACCTCAGTCTTGAGTTCTAAAAACCCCTCTCTTTCCCCCCTTCGACCGTTGGGGTTTTTCTCCTGTGACCAACAATGGCGATTACACGGAGGTCCGCCGTTTCCAAACACCAACTTCAGGCAACTCCTCCTTCTCTTCCGCCAGTTCCTCCGCCGCCTTCTGTTGCTGAAATCACTCCCAAATCAAACATCAACAACGAACAACCCCAGCAACAGGAACAACCCCGGAAAGAACAGCAACCTGCTGTTGCTGCTGTTGCTGAAACAGTTTCGAATTATGAGCAAACGAGAGAGCAACGGATTAAAGAAAACCGTGAGCGTTTACAAAAACTTGGAATTGTCGATCTCTCTCTTCAACTTAAGTCCATTGTTGCTACTAAACGAACATCAAGAAGAACTCAGTTTGACCGAAATACCCCTCTCAAGTCTCCGCCTTCGGTTCCCTCTGAACGCCGCCGTTCTTCCAGGTCTATTAATTTCTTCATTTTATTTGATTCCACAATTAATTTTCTGGGTTTTTTTTTTTTTTTTTTTTTTTTTTTTTCCTTTGGGTATTTTATTAGTGGGGTTTTGAGATTTGATCAGATGGTGTTGAAGATTTAAAGTAGGGTTTTTAGTAGACATTATAATTTTGAGAATTTGTTGTGGGTTGTGACAATTTTTATGAAATTGTTCAGGGTTTGCTATTAAATTTGTGATGTTCAAAATGTATTGCATGAATTATTCAATCGATTATGCTAGCAATTCATGTTTTTAATATTGTTAGTTTAGTGAAATTATGAATCTGATTTTCCTTTGATGGGGTTTAGGCTGCAAAATGCGCCACCAGTAACCTACACTGAGCCAAAGGAGGAGAAACCAAAAAGAGGTAGGGACATTGTGTTGGAAGAGGGGGCAAAGCCCGAGATTTACACTGAAGAACATGAGAAACTGTTGGGGAATACGGAGATGCCCTGGACATTTTTCGTCGATGGGTATAGAGCAGATGGAACTCGGATTTATGATCCGGTCAGTGGGAAGACTTGCCATCAGTGCCGGTGAGGGTTTCATTGTCATTTGGTATCTCATTATGCATTCATTATTGCTTACTGTTTCGTGTGCGTGTGTGTATGTTTATGCGTGTGGAGGTGTGTGTATCGAGAACTTGTTGATAGATATGGGTGGAAGCTTATTTTAGATCCGACAAACGGAAGTGCCTTATTGTTTAACTTTAACCTTTTGGTTAAGCATTGTTGTTTACAGTTTTTATAGAAGTTAAAAGGTCCTTTGGGCCGGAAAAGCCGGTTGCACAAATTCATTGGGAAATTTTAAATTATCCTGTGATGTGAAGCAATTTAATCAACTCTTTTATATTGTCAAAGCTGAACCATGGATTTTGTTGTGTCCATCTGATTTGGTAACTTCTGTTCCATGATATTATACTTCGTTTTGGCCGGTCATTTGCTTGCCTAATGGATTGATTTCTAATTTTGAGCTACCAAGTTTCATTGTCTTGAATGTCAGAATTTTGTTGTCTTTGTTGAAAGTAGAACTTAGGACTTTAGGAGAGATCAAAGTCTTAGGCATTTGTATTGGCATTCACGGTAATCAATATGCATTCGGAAATCTCTTCTTCTATGTGCTTACTAGCAAGCGGTTAACCTTTTGTCAGAATTTGGTGGTGACATTAGAGTACAAGTCTTTAATACTAAGGGTTTAAGAGATAATTTTGTCATTGCAGTGAAAAATCCTTTCCTTGTATGTTTACTTCTTTATGGTTTCTGCCTTGTTCTGAGTTTAAAAGCATGGACCTATATTTCTAAGAATGGCCTAAATTACCTATTAAACTTTCTTAGAAAGTTAAATTTCTGCTGCTGAATATTTGACTAGTTAACAGGTATTGAGAACTAGTGATACTTAGGGTGTCTCTATACTTCGCCAAGTATGGTGTATTGCAGACCAAGATACTGCCAGAATCATTTGAGTAGTTTCCATAAAACTTCCATTTGAGCTAACAGATTATGCTGTTATTAAATCTAGTTTTTATATATATAATTTTTTTTTTTCCAGTTTATGGTTCTGCCTTTTCTCCCTAATTACCGAATAAGAAAGTTATTCATAGGAAGTAGCCTTCATGTGGAGCTGGAGATAAAGTTATTGGGTAATATGGAGCTTAGATTAGCTGCTTCTAACTTATGGAGCAGTGAGATTTCCTTTTCTATCTTTATATCTGGTAAAATAATCTATCATACTAAATGACATCACTCTTTTGCAGATGGAATCACTCTCATATTAGGAAAAAGCAATGAAACATTACAACTTAATTTTTAGGATTAAAATTTTTTGTGTGGATGAAGCAAATGTTATACTTTTCCCAAGTTCTTAGTATGTTAGGATCACAGTGTCTCTCATATTATATCTGATGCAGCTGCTTGTACGTTTTCATGGACCTTGTTGTGCCTTTTGAGTTTCGACTCTTAGATATTTACTAAAATGCATCTGTTTCACAGGCAGAAGACACTTGGACAGCGCACTCGCTGCAGCAATTGCAATCTTGTCCAAGGACAGTTTTGTGGGGATTGTCTTATGATGAGGTATGCATATTCTTTATTTTTGTCCATATGTATTAGTCAGATAAACTGGAGTTTTCTGAAAGAAAGTGAAGAAATCATCTACTGTATAAAACTAGAGGTAAGAAAAAATGTGTTATGAATCATGCTCACATCATTACAAAGCATCCCCCCCCCCCCCCAAAAATCCAAAAAAAATCTTAGTTTGCTCTCAAGTTAGAAAATTCTGAAGACGCTAGACTCATAAAACAAGGATAATCTAGTGGCTGAAAACCTTCTAAACAAGCTACTATGAAAGGGCTTTAACTTTGTTGTTAGACCCAAGATTTCCAAATTTACAGCCATAGGAAGAGCTGATACGTGTGGAAATTTATGATACGTGATCAAGCAATGTTATAGTACATAGACTACATTCTACATCTTACCACACCCTCTTATTTTGGAAATCAATGAACGCAGAAGACTCCAACTCAATCAACAAATTTGTTGAAGATCACTTAAAATCCAAGCTAAATCTCTTTTGAGTAATTACTCAGGGTTTTCTGCTTCTGGTGGTAATTGTGTTTTGATCAGTTCTACCATATTCGCTGTCTACTTTGGCATGGGAATATAATTCCGTACCTAAATTGTTAAATAAGGCCATATATGTTCAACTTACAGATATTAATTTGCCAAATTTAACACTGGTTTGATCCTTTGGAGTCACGGAGTAAATTTCAACATATCTTTATATATTTTTTATATCAATCCCGTACTCCTTATTATCTGTACTTTTGGTCAACACCTTCTTCATACATTCAACTTGCTTTTAAATGATGAATCTTTGGGTACATAAGGTTCACACTTGTCTCATTGTATGTCTTCTCCATATCACTTGAAACCAGGTGAGCAAAAAAGCGTAACCTGCTGCACCTTGCACCAGCAATGTACTTGTATGTTATACTTTGTATAATTCTATTTGTTAATTGCACTGGGATGGGGTTTGTCCGATTATTATGACCATTGCAGATCTAATTATTTGTATAACAATCTTTATTCTTCACCATCTATTCTGATGCTATAGTTTCTGTGATGGTTGTCAATGACAGATATGGGGAGCATGTTGTAGAAGCCAATCAAAACCCAGATTGGATTTGCCCTCCTTGT